CTTGGCAGAGGCCTTCCCGCTTCCCCTCTGAGCTGCCTCCTTAGAAAAGACATGCTGGCTGAATGTTGAATGCCCGTCCGCCCGCCATGGCAGCCTGCTCCTGGGCCCCCTCCCACAGCCCATGGAGCTGGGAGCGGGACGGGTGTGCCCGGGTGCCTGGTGCAGGGTGTTCTGGCAGGACCTACCTGTATCCAAGGCGACGCATCCGGGCCCTTTTTCCAGGAGGGCCTGTTGTGAAACATCCTGGAATGTTTGTGTTCCTTCGCAGGTCAGTAATGAAGCAGAGGCCAAAGGAGTTCTTGCTCAGCACCCTCGCTTCCCTCCCTCTCTCTCGCCCTTCCAGCATTTGGGTCATTTGGTTTCCTATGGGGTTTTCGGCAGCCCAGGCCATGGAAGCTGGAGCCTGGGATTGCACCGGGCTAGGGTGGGGGGATCACTTCATCAGAGGGGGTGGGGGCAAGCCCCCCGAGTCCTGGCCACATCTGAAAGCAGACATCCCTTCCCAGCTCACAGCTTGCCCAGAGGGAACCATTACAAACCAGAGAAGTACCTGCAGTTTCCCAGGGGGAACTGGTTTAAAGTTCCTCCCTGGCAGGAAGGGGTGTGTGTGTGTGTGTGTGTGTGTGTGTGCGCGCCCATGCACTTGTGTATACATATGTGTGTTTAAATCCTCGTGCAGCTAAATTCGCTTCCCTTCATCCTGGCTGAACGGCACGTCTCCGCACACTGAATAATTCATCTCCTTCTTGGCGTTTGTTCCTGAGAGGTTCTCGCTGTCCAGGTTTCTTTTAGCGGCATAGTGTCCCACTGGAAGCTTTTCTCTTTCCCATGGATGTGCACTGGGCGTCCGGATATCAGCCCCCTGGCTTCTCCCATGGTCCCTTTGAAGGGATCCCTCAAATCAACCAAAGCTGTCCTTTCTCATCCCGCCCTCCCCTTCTAACTTTGGGTCCTCTTTACTCACATTGTTGTTGTTATTATTATTATTATTTTCAGCCCTGTTAGCCACAATGTCTGCATTTGCTGCAAGTTGGACTCAGCATCTTCCCCCCTCCACACGTCGGTCACAATTGTGGTGCTTATAGCCAACATTATTTCGGTTCTGACTTCTCCGTGTCCAAGGCGAAATAATGTCCAACATTATTTCGGTTCTGACTTCTCCATGTCCGTGGGTCCTGCTTTGCTGGAAAAGAGATTGCGTTGTTGATGTTTCCCTCCGCCTCTCCCGCTCCTCATGTCACACACACAGCTCTGTGAATCACGTGTGCTAGTGACCTTGAGCCACTAGGCTGCCTTTTCATTAAGCAGCAGTGTGTGACCCACATGCCTGAATGTCCTGCTGGGAAGGCGTGGAAGCTGAAGGTGCAAGCAGGCAAGAGCTCTGTGCCTTGGGCCGGCTGCAGGCATCCCTGTGGTCCTGCTTGATCCTCTCTGTCTCTGGAATAGCTGACATTGCGTTCCAGATTGTTCTGAGTCTCATGGGGTCCCGTGAATTTTTGTTAGCAAAGCCTGGGTTTGGGAATCAGGCAGTAGGCTTCAGGTTATAGTGCTGGGGTTGACCGACTCTGTGATGTAGCTGTGAGGAGGCCTCCAGAAGGAAACATGTTGTATATGATTTGCTTTCTAGGCCTGGATCTAACCATTATTAGTTTAATTATAATTAACAAGTGAACGTTACAGAAGCATTAATTTAAAAAAGGGATAAAACACTTAAATTCATTGAAATCTCTGTACCAAGATAACCTTTTAATGTCTAACTTTCTAATTTTTCTTCTACACACAAAACACACACACACACACATACTTTTTTGGCAAAATATACATAATGGTATCCTGTAGATCTTCTCTTTCTACAGTGTTGTCTTTCACATAGTAAATTGAAAGCATCCTTCCATTTTAGCAAAATATAGAATATTTTATTTTTTGTTCCTACATATGCATGATCGTATGTGCCCATTCCAAGATACTTAGTGAGAGAGAATTGTGGGGGGTATAGGGTTCCCTTGCTCAGAATCACCATTGGAGAAATTATTTCATCAGTCCCCAGCGAGGAATTCTGAAAGGTGTGCTAATGCTCACACAGATTCTGGGCAGCAGGCGGGAAGGGACACAGCTCCTTGGTTTTCTGGGTTGCAGACTGATCGTATAATAAGATTTATCTCCACAGCCAGGCTGGGGGAGGGCAGGGCGAGGAATGAGCCCAAAGGAGAGGTCTGAGTGTGGTTGGTGCGAGCATGCCTGCTCCCTCACAGTTTGCCTGTCCCCCGTGATGGAGGAGCTCACCGTGGAGGCGTGTACGCCTGGGGGGAGGGTTCCCTCAGGGACCCTTTCAAAGATCTGTTGGATGAAATGTTGTGGGATGAGCTTTGGCCCTTGGGCTTCGGTCTTCATGCTCCATAAGGAAGAGGGAGCAAACACAGAGAGGAGATGTGGGAGTGGGGGAGACACTGCTGGAAGTGGCCTTCTGTTCCTGACATCTGAGCGGAGGATGGGGTGGGGCGGGGTGGGCTGCAGGCAGCCTCACAGGAACTTGACCCAGACGGCACAGGTGTGCCCCCGAGTGAAGAGCATTCTTAGCTGAAGAAAGGCCCGTCACCTGTGTGGTTCTCCTTGGCCTCAGGGGGTGCAGTGAGGATGTCAACTTTCAAGAGGACCTTTTAGCTCACTGCAGGGGCTCCGGCGACACCATTGCCTTGCTTGAAATCCCAGCGTGGCCTTTGACACTGAGAATATTACTTAGTCTTTCTTAGCCTTGGTTTCCCTGCTTGGGAAATGGGGATGATAATAACTAATGTTTTGTTGCGCGCTCGTTGGTAGCAGGATCTGTGCTAAATGTTCCTGTAAGCATGGCCTTATGTAAGCTAAGCGACATCCCGGAGAATGGTTATCATCCCCACTTCACAGATCAATACACTGAGCCTCAGAGAGGTTAAGTTGCCCGACCCACACAGCTAATGGAAATCATGCTTATTGAACACTCCCTTAATGGTGACTAACCTGTTGCATGTCACATAGACCTCTGGCCTCATCCTCATTGTCTGCTACAAGATAGCAGTAAATTACCAACCAACAGAGCTCTGGAGCCAGCATGCCAGGAATTCAGTCAATCGGTATTTCTACAGCCTGCCAGACCCTGGATATGCAGAGCTCATAAGTGCACCAGGTCTCTCCGCCAGGGGCCCTTCAGTCTTTCTTTCCCCCGTGTATTTTGCTTCTAGTTTGATATGGAATGAATGTAAGAAGGAAGTTTAAGAGAGAGGGTGGATTCCTGTGGTTTGAAGGGAAGTTCTTTAAAAATAAAAACAACAACATGCCGAAACCAGTTTGGCTCAGAGCGTTGGCCTGCGGACTGAAAGGTCCCAGGTTCGATTCCGGTCAAGGGCATGTACCTTGGTTGCTGACACATCCCCAGTAGGGGGTGTGCAGGAGGCGGCTGGTCGATGTTTCTCTCATCAGTGTTTCTAGCTCTCTATCCCTCTTTCTTCCTCTCTGTAAAAAATCAATAAAATATATAGATAAATAAAAACAATAACAAAAAAAAACCCACAAAGTTTTTATTGATTTTTAGAGAGAGAGAGAGAATCATCAATATGACAGAGAAACATCCACTGGCTGCCTCCTGCCTGCCCGCTCCTGGGTATCAAACCTGCATCTCAGGCATGTGCCCTGACCCCGGATCAAACCTGCGCCTTTTTGGTGCATGGGACAAGGCTCAACCAACGGAGCCACCCAGCCAGGCCTTGGAGGGAAGTTCTTGATCAGGATCGCAGACCTCGTCGCGGTCATCTTTCTTCCTGTGCCGTTGGACCTCAGTTAGCCAGTCTGCAGAAAGACCGATGAAGTAGCCTCTGGGAGTCTGGAACTGGGAGTGGGTAGGAAGCAGACAGGAGAGGGAGGAGATGAGGATGTGACTTTTATGCAGAGGCAGCAACTCTAGAACCCCAGGAGCTGTCTGGAGGGGCCACTGGGGCGGACGGCTATGTCTGGATTCCTAGCACTCTGGCTGAAATACTTGACTGGCAGTCTGTGCTGTCTGGGGCTGGAACGAGCCTTTGTTCTTTTAGTTGGGTGAGGTGCATGTCTGGCTGGCTTAGCCACAATACCAAGTGATGATGGCCGTTTCACTTAGGGCAGAACGGGGACTTAGCGGGTGGTTATTGTTACAAGATCACTTGAGGCTGGATTGTCTCAGGAAGGAGAGCAGTGGGTTACAGGCATTTGGGAACCAGCTCAGGAGGCAAGAAATACGGCTCTTGTGTGTGTGTGTGTGTGTGTGTGTGTGTGTATGTGTGTGTTTTTTTAATATATATTTTATTGATTTTTTACAGAGAGGAAGGGAGAGGAATAGAGAGCTAGAAACATTGATGAGAGAGAAACATCAACCAGCTGCCTCCCGCACACCTCCCCACTGGGGACGCGCCCACAACCAAGGTACATGCCCTTGGCCAGAATCAAACCTGGGATCCTTGAGTCTGCAGGCCAACGCTCTATCCACTGAGCCAAACCGGTTTCGGCAAGAAATACAGCTCTTGGCCAAACTCGCAGGGCGGGGCATCTGCTATTCTAGAAGCTGCAGTAACTCAGCTTTCCAGAGGAGACGTGGGCATGACACCATGCCATGGAGCTGGGAGAAAGACTGGGGGTGGGACAGGCGAGGGAGTTGCAGGTGGAGAAGCCAGAGAGGGCTGAGTCAAGTCCAAAAGCAAGCTTGACCTTCAAGCCCTTTCCTGCAAGCCCTTCAGGTAGAGATGCAGAGCTGGAGGCCCAGAGAAGGAAGGTGGCCGGCTCAGATTTCCCCCTCATTAGTGACTAAGTTGGGGCTGGGACACAGATTCCCTGCCTCCTTCTATGTGTTCACCTTCCCGGGACAACAGGGACAAATGTGGTGTCATTGCCAGGTTTGGGGATCTGCTGGGCCAGCGCTGAGGAGCATGGAGGCCCAGAGTTGCAGGGTTGTGGGCACCGTAGGCTGATGGGATCTTTCTTCTCTTCCTGCCCAGGTATACCAAACCGCTCACCTTTGCCGACTGCATCAGTGATGAGCTGCCTCTGGGATGGGAAGAGGCGTATGACCCGCAGGTTGGAGATTACTTCATAGACCACAACACCAGTAAGTTCCGGCCATCCTTCCTTCCTCATCCCCTCTCCCCATCCTCTGCCTCCACGCTCACCTCCTAAATCTGGAAGAGGCTCTTGAAGCCAAATCGTATTTTGGGGGGTTTTATCTTCTTCTTTTAAAAAAATATATCTTTATTGATTTAAGAGAGGAAAGGAGAGGGAGAGAGAGATGAAAAGATCAATGATGAAAGATTGATTGGCTGCCTCCTGCACAATCGGGGATCAAGCCCCCAACCCAGGCATGTTCCCTGACCGGGAATTGAACCATGACTTCCTGGTTCATAAGTTGATACCCAACCACTGAGCCGCTATGGCTGGGCCATATTTTGTTTTATATACAGCTAGGTAGAGATGTCAACGTAGAGATATCACCATAGGTATAGATAGATAATATATGCTCATATAATATAACAGAAGGTTTTTAAATAGAATCTGAAACTCCCCCTCTCATAACTCATCTCCTCAATTCTGCAAAGGCAGCCACTGCTAACAATTTATGTGTATTGTTCCAGAAATTTCCCAGTTGTGTATTTATGTGTATATTATATATTCACTAGAGGTCCGATGTACAAAATTTGTGCAAGAGTAGGCCTTCCTTCCCCCAGCTGCCGGCACTGGCTTCCCTCTGGCACCCGGGACCCAGGACCTGGGATTGCCTCACAGCCCGGCTTCGCCCGGAAGGTCACCTGGAAGGATGCCTGGCCTAATTAGCATATTATACTTTCATTATTATAGATATGTCCTTTTTTTACATCTATCAACATATGTGCATACAGACGTTTTTTCCTCATAAAAGTGGATGTGTCATTGCCGGGTCATTGCCCAGCAAGCCCCCAGCAGCCTGCATACATAGGTATCCATTGTGGCGTGGTGTGAGTGTGTGTCTCTAGCCCATCATACGAATCAGCCCACTGCCCTCACTTCCTGCCTGTGACCCAGGTGTCCTGATGCAGATGAAGCTTTCTGGTGTGTTTGTCTCTGGGACTGTGGTGGAGGAATAGGCTGAGAAAGGGGCCAGCGTGCTGTCTGACAGGTGGAGGAGCCCTGGTTGCGGTCCCCGAGCCAAGGAAAGCCGAGTGTGCTTGGGCCTCATCCGCTGTGCACCTTCTTGGCCAGGAATATGCCTGCCCTCTGAAATTTGCTGCCCCATTTACTTGTGAGGAAGGAGGACTTTCTGTCCCACTCTCCACCTTTCCAATTGGAGGATTTCCCTGATCCTTTCAGGCAAAGGGAGAGTGGAATGAAGTGGGACAAGCCTGGCAAAGCTTGAAGGCTGAGGATAGGGCATCAAACTCTAGCCCATTTACACTCTGTGCCAACGCTGGGCAAGGTATTAACTAGGGAGCATCCCACTTAACCCTCCCAACTACCCTGATTGTCCCCACCTTAGAAATGGGCCTTAGAGGCAGTAACCCATCGCTCAATACTCAGAGCTAAAGCATGGCAGAGCTGGGATTTGAACCACTTCCTCTGGGTCTCAGTAGCACCTGGTCATACCTTTGTCGCGCCCCTCATCACTCTGGGATAGCCACTGGCCTGGGGTTGCACGTTCTTCTAGATCAGGCACAAAGTAAGCAGAAAAGGGCATCCATGCCCGCGTGCATGACTAAAGGATGAATGAGCGGCCCGGCCCTGGCACCGAAGTGCAGAGGAGTTTCTGAGAGACAGCTAACGACATTAATTGCATTGTTGGGGGCAGCAGAGCCCTTTATTAGTGCCCGTGATTGCATACTGGGTAATGAGAAGTAAATATGCCTAATTGGGTGTGCACGGGGAACGAGGTTAATGCTGGGAGGGCTGCGTGGCGTGCTGGGTTAAACACTGAAGCGCAGGGACCCTCATCAGGCCCTTCCTGTTTCTAATTGCCGAGTGCATCCCCCTCATTAAAGGCTGACAGCAGGAGCGGGATTTTAAGGTGCTTCTGGGAGACATTGAAAGAGGAAGGAGCAGCAGGCTGTGGCAGAGTTGATTCTTGAGGGGATGATGGCAGAAATGAGGTGGGGGTGGGTAGGGGGTGGGAGTACATAGGGGCCAGGATAGGAAGAATTGTGTATGGCAGTTTTACCAGCTGTCAGGCTTCCGGTTTTCTTTTGGTGTGAAGGTGCTCTCATTGGATGGAGGGCACCACCTCTGTAGATGGAGCCAGTGATGCCAGTGGTATGAATATGACCATCATGGCCCAATCATTCAGAGCCGTGGGCTCAGAGTCCATTGACAGAAATTGCTCTCTTAAGAGTTTATAGACATGTTAGAATTGAACGACAAATTAAATCTCCCACCTGACATTCATTCACTCAGCAAGTATTCACCTACCACCTGCCATGTTCCAGGTACTGTCCTGGGAGCTGGAGATACGTAGGAGTTCATGGTAATGATCCTTGCCCTTGTAGAGCTTTCATTTCGGCAAAAGAGAAAATGAACAGAATAAATAAGCAGATTATGTAGTGCACTAGACAATTACCAGTATTATGGGAAAAAGAAAGCAAAGTGTAGGGCTAAAGTCCTGGGTGTGTTTGAGGACTCGGGGCAAGGACAGGGAAGAACTTGTTGAGAAATGAGACGTGAGCTAAGACCTTAAGGAGGGAGGGAGCATTTCAAGTAGAGAGCATAGAGCAAAAAGCTCGAGGGATGGCAAGGAGGCAGGTGTGCAGAGAGCAGAATGAGCTGGGGAAAGGGAAGGGCATCAGACCAGAGATAGATGGGCCTGCTGTCCATTGGCCTTACTCTTCTGGCTTTTACTCCCATGTCGGGTAGGAGCCATTGGCTAGTTTCCGGCAGATGAGTGGCAAGTTCTGCTCTATGTCTTAATGGGTCACTCTGGCTGCTGTGCTACCTTAGTGGGTAAGGACAGACCTTAGTGGGTAAGGACAGAAGCAGGGAGACCTGTGAGAGACCATTGCAACTGTCCAGGTGACAGAGGACAGTGTCCCAGAGCCATACAGCAGTGGGGGTGGTGAAAAGTGCCCAGATGCTGGGTATATTTTCAAGGCAGAACCACAGGACTTCCTGAGAGATCACCTATGGGATGTGAAAGAAAGAGGAATGAAAGACTCTCACTGGACCTGAGCAACTGGCTCCCTGGAGTTACCATCCATGGAATGGAGGGAACTGCAGGAGGAGTGGGTTTAGGAAGGAGGAACAAGGGTTCTTCAGGGCATGTTGAGTCTTCCATGCCTGTTACACATCTGAGAGCGGATGCTGGCCAGCTTGCTGTAGGAATTAGGAACTTGGAAAGAGATCAAGGCTGAAGATATGCACACTGGAGCTGTTGGCGTATAGATAGTATTTCAAGACATGAAGCCGGATGAGATTACCAAAGGGAAATATCAAGACTGAAGAAGACCAAGGAATGAGCCATGGGGTCCTCAGATAGTAATGGGGTGCGGAGAAGAGGAAAACAGGTGATTCTGAGGTGTGACCAGAAAGGTGGGGGAACCTGAGAGTCTGGGCAGCCACGGGAAGGAAGTGTATCAAGGGGAGGGTTGTCAGGTGACTATGAAGAGGCCTCAGAGTTGCCCACCAGCTTTAGTAATCCAGGTGACACCGGTGACCTTGACTGTGGAGGGCAGCTTTGGACAAGGACTGGGGGGATGGAGAGGGGAGGAAAGTCGTGAGTCAGAAAAAAAAAATGGAGGAGAGGAACCAGAAACAGCACATATAGACAGTTCTTTCCAAATTATTACCCATTCTCGCCCTAGCTGGTTTGGCTCAGTAGATAGAGCATCAACCCTCAAACTGAAGGGTCCTGGGTTCAATTTGGGTCAAGGGCACATGCCCACGTTATGGGCTTGTAGGAGGCAGCCTGTCAATAATTCTCTCATCATTGATATTTCTCTCTCTTCCTTCCTCTTTGAAATCAATAAAAATATATTTAGACAAAAAATAAGTTTGTGTGTGTATACACATATATAAAAACATATTTTAGATAAGTAGGGGACAATGTCTGTAAGTGTGTGAACTCTTAACAGCAATTACCTCTGGGGAGTAGGATTAGAGAGGTGGGAACTCTATAAATTTGCAGTTGAGGGAATTATTGATCAAAGTGTTAACATTTCTTTATTTTATTTTGTAGTATATGTCTAAAAAAACTGTAAATTTTAAAAAGTTAACAAACTTAAATATATATATATATATATTCAGCCTGATCCTGACAGGCCAAGTTTCTTTTGAAAAAGTAATAGAATTCTTTGGGCAAAGTGAGACCGGTCTGCAGGCTGGGTTCACCACCTGGCCATGATTATGGAGTGTCTGGTATGTAGTCACCCCTGACTCCACCCCCCAAGTGGGAAATTGTCAATGGGCATTGGCTCCTTGACCTTGCTTTGACCTCTTCTACATCTGTTCAGCTGCCAGCTATCCATTTTTATTTTTTAAAATTAATGTCTTTTAGTCAAATTGGCACTGTACAGGTTTATTGAACACATAACTAAAAAATAAAAAAATAAAATCACTGTTGATAATTTGCTATGTGTCCTCTTAATATTTTGGAGAATGTCCATATTTATTTTGATAAGCACAAAATTGTTTATGAAGTTTGTACACTGTATTGTCACTCACTTTTATGTTGTAAGCACCTTTCCATTTTATTTTTTTAATGGCTGTATTTGTGTATCATGTAAATATAACATACTTATTTGAGCATTTATTTCCTGTTTGACCTTGAGCAAATTACTTAACCTCTCTCTGTTTTCTCTTTTGTATAATGGAGGCAGTAATAGAATCCCCTTTACGGATGTAGTGTAAGGATTGAACGAGTAAATATAATAGATATAAAGTAATTAGGATAGTGCTTGGTATAGAATAAACATCAAATAAGTGCTTGTTATTTATTTTTCATATTATTATCATGGTTTTATACAAATGCATCTTTGTTTTAATTTCTTACTACTTACTAGAGGCCGGTGCACGAATTCATGCACAGTTGGGGGTCCCTTGGAATGGCCTGTGGGGATCAGGCTCCAGCTTGCGCCCCAGGCTCTCAGCCCAGCAGCCCCACCTGGAACCCCACCTTGGCCTGGTGCCACCTCCTCACCTGCTCCACCATCCTGCCCATGGGGCAATTGATCGGGGCTGGGTGGTGGCCCCACCTCCTGCCACTGCCACTGGTTGCATCAGTGGGGCAATCGGCCTCCCCCCGCTCACAACCACCTTGGCCTGGCACTGCCCACTCACCTGCTCTACCATCCCACCACAGTCCCACTCTCGTCAGGGCCCATCAGGGCCATCAGCGCCTCTACTGCTAGCATGTCCACCATGTTCTGTGCCACCCCCTGGTGGTCCGTGCATGTCATAGTGAGTGGTCGAACTCCCAGTCTCCTAGTTGAACTCCTGGTCAAACGACCACCCAATGGAACAATTTGCATATTAGGCTTTTATTATATAGGATTATTATAATCAATTACTATAAGGGGAATTATGGGTCAAAGGGTTAATTAACATTTTTAAGGCTCTTAATGTACACGGTCAGGTAGCCTTCTAGTTAAAACTCTTCTATGCTACATTTCTGGCAGAGTATGGGGTTCCTGTTTCTTCATATCCTCTGAAGTATTATTTCTTTTGCTTTACTTTGCTCTTGACCAAAACAGATGACCTTAAGCATCTATCATGTCATTGAGCCTCAGTCTAGATTAGAACTCAATCCTGGTCTTTCTCCTAGTTATACTCAAGCAGACTGACTTTGGGGTTTGGAAATGTATCCTGGTTTATTTTGTGTTTGCTTGCCTAATCAAAGTGAAGAGCCTTTGTGGCATAATAGGTAAGTTTAACCCATTTACATTTATTGTGGTTTTCTGTTCATTATGCTTCTTGTTTTCTGGTGGTGGGTGCCACAGGCCACCAACCCAACAGATACCTGTGCTGACCTGGGGTCTCTGGGGTCTGTTCCAGAAACCACTCAGATTGAGGACCCCCGGGTGCAATGGCGGCGGGAGCAGGAGCACATGCTGAAGGACTACCTGGTGGTGGCCCAGGAGGCCCTGAGTGCCCAGAAGGAGATCTACCAGGTGAAGCGGCAGCGCCTGGAGCTGGCACAGCAGGAGTACCAGCAGCTGCATGCCGTCTGGGAGCACAAGCTGGGCTCCCAGGTCAGCTGTGAGTACTTTCCCCCCCCACCAGGGCCCACCCTCCACCACCACGAGGGGCGGCGGGAACGGCTGCCCCAAGTCCTGCCTGTGTGGCCTTTCAGATCTGCCCACTTTCCTCTTTCTCCACTCCTGTGCCAACCATCTCTTCCTGTGCCCTGCAGCGATTCGTTTGCCATTTTCCTTCCATTTTCATTCATTCATCGTCATCTCAGAACGCCAACCAGGTTACAGTATCTCCTTGTTGATAACCTTTCCGTGGCTGGAGAAGTGATGGATGGAGAGTTAATGTTTAATTGGCCTGAAGTTTCAAATTGGGAAGATGAATAAGTTCTGGAGATGGATGATGGTGATGCTTGCACAATATGAATGTGCACGTAAAGGTGGTTAAAGTGGTAAATTTTATGTTAAATATGTATTTTACCACATTTTTTTAAAAAAAGTTTATTTTTATTGATTTTTTACAGAGAGGAAGAGAGAGGGATAGAGAGTTAGAAACATCAATGGGAGAGAAACATCAATCAGCTGCCTCCTACACACTCCCTACTGGGGATGTGTCCACAACCAAGGTACATGCCCTTGACCGGAATTGAACCTGGGTCCCTACAGTCCGCCCGCCGATGCTCTATCCACTGAGCCAAACCGGTTAGGGCATATTTTACCACATTTTTAAAAATTTTTTTAAATTTTTAATTTTTTAAATATATTTTATTGATTTTTTACAGAGAAGAAGAAAGAGGGATAGAGAGTTAGAAACATCAATGAGAGAGAATCATCAATCAGCTGCCTCTTGCACACCCCCTGCTGGGGATGTGCCCACAACCAAGGTACATGCCCTTGACCGGAATCGAACCTGGGACCTTTCAGTCTGCAGGCCGATGCTCTATCCACTGAGCCAAACCAGTCCCGGCATTTTACCACATTTTAAATATATACTATATGTTTTTATTGATTTGAGAGAGGGAGATGGAGAGATAGAGAAAAGATTGATGACAGAGAAACATTCGTCTGCTGTCTTCCCCCATAGCTCCCCTCCACCTGATTCTCCACCTGATTCACCTGCACACCCTCTACTGGGAATCAAACTGGCAACCTCTTGGTGCATGTGATAGCTAAGCCACATCAGCCAGGGCTATTTTACCAGGATTTAAAAAAAAAAAATCTTCAGTGACTTCTCATTGTTCTTTTCATGGCCTATACAGTGATCAGGCCCCTGCCAGCCATGCCCACCCCATCTCATGCTGTCATCATTAGGCTCACCCTCTGCTCCACAGTCTGCCCTGCAACTTTCTCCCTCGCCCTGCTGTTCCCCTGCTTACAATGTTTTTCTGTTGATCCTTTTGCACAACCAGTTCCTTCTCATCCTTCCAGTGTTATCCTTCATTGCCTCTCTGAGAGGCTCACTGTAACCACTCCACCAGAAGACTCCCCTCCCCAAAGTTAGCCCCAGGAATGCTCTTCATTTATTTTCTTCATCACACGTGTCACAGAATATCTGCTCATTTGTCCATCTGTATTTCCGTATTTGTCTGCTGGGGTTTTTCAGCCTCAATACTACTGACATTGGGGGCCAGATAAATCTTCCTTGTTGGGGCCTCTATGTTGTGGCACCTTTAGCAGCATCCGTAGTGTCCCACCCCAAGTTGTGAGAACCAAACATCTCTCCAGACATTGCCAGATGTGTCCTCCGGGGCAAAATTCTCCCAGCTGAAAACCACTGGTCTAGGTAAAATGATTCCCTTCTTAATGGCTGAATAAATGTCCTCTTTGGTAGGAAACACTTTCCATAATGTTTTTTGAGTATGGACTCTGGAGCTGGACTGCCCAGGTCCCAATCCAGGATATGCAATGGACTAGCTGTGTGACCGCACACACGTTATGCCATTTCCCTCTGCCTCAAATTCTTCACGTGTACGTGGACATAATAACAGTATCACCTTCAGCTATGGGGCTGAAAGTAGTTAACAAATGTCAAGTGCTTGGAATAGTACCTGTCGTATTCTTAAGCTCTCAGATAATCACAATTATTATTTGAAATTATTAATTCATTGACTCGACAAAAATTTTGAACAGATCCTTGGAACCAGTAAGATGGAACTCATGATCATTGGTAGGAAGTAAATGACGTAGTCCTATCATATAACTTCCGGGTATTCCCGAGAGCACCATCAGGCTCAAAGACACCACTGTTTTGAATGTCAAAGAACTTTAACCTGGCCCTTGTTGGTGTTGCCAGTGGTTAGACCACTGGTCCTCAAACCAAAAGGTTGTGGGTTCGACTCTAAGAAACTTGAGTTGCATTGGAGAGGCAACTAATTGATGTGGGTCTCTCACATCTCTCTCCCTCTCCCTCTCTCTCCTTCTCCCTCTCTCTCCTTCTCTCTCTCTCTCTCCCTCTCCCTCTCACTCCTCCTCTCACTCTCCCCTCCCCTCCACTGTCTGGGGGGAAAAAATAGAAAAAATATTCTCCACTGAGGATTCACACACACACACAGAGAAAGAGAGAGAGAGAGAGAGAGAGAGAGAGAGAGAGAGAGAGAGAGAGAGAACTTACATTATACTTGAAGGACTAGGGTCATCTCCGGTTACCTGATCTAAGATCCAAACCAGCCAGGACTTTCTTTGGGTTTCACAAGCCAGGTTTGCCTTCCAAGTCCAGCTCTTCAGCACGTCGATAGACCGGTGAGGCCACATGCCTGGCTTCTAGCTCAGCTGGCATGCCAGGGCTGGTGAGAGTTTTGCCACCTGGCCATGGTGATTGTGGGCCTACCCTGGGGATGGAAACTCTGTTGTCACCTCCTGTACAATCGCTAGCTCTCTGGGGAAGGAGAAGAGAACTGCCATTTAATGTGTTCCCGTTGTGTTCCTGCAGGGCAGGGTGCTGAGGGCACTCCACATGTGTCATTAAAGTAACCTCCCTCCCCACTTGCACACACACATAGACATGTACAGTCCCGCGAGATGCTGCTGTTCTCATTCTACAGGTAAAGAAACCGAGGCCCAGCAAAGGGAAGTCCTTTCCTCTGGGTCACATCGGTAAAAAGTGATAGAGCTAGCCTTGGTACCCAGGAGCATCTGACCTCAAAAACCAATTCTCTTAATTCAATCCAAGCCAGCCAGTCTGCTTCCAAGGCTCTTGGGTTACACTGGGGTCCCCCTATCCACTGAAAGGCGAGAACTTTTAAGAGCTGGGTTCTTTTTGGACCTCACCGCGTTCCTTCCTCACTACAGGTTAGAGGAAATTTGAAAAATAAGTTATTGGGAGAAAGTTAAAAATGCTTGTTGAACTACCCACTTGATTTCACTGACTCCTGTAACTAAGAAAAGATCAGGAAAAAAGGTCTTTAAAAGCATATACACATGGGGACAAGAAGACTTGGAGAACAAAGTAGCAATAACAGGATTTGGCCAAAGTAAATTTACAGTTATGAGTATGCGAAAAACTGAATTTATTCTTATGTTATTCCTTATTAATTATTGTATTATTTTCTATACTAGCAACTGTTAACCTACTTTTGCCCCACCCTGTATAATGTGGAAGCTGGAAGGCAGATGGACAGGTGGCAGTCTGTCTGGTAGACCTATCTGAGACAAGAGAAAATGGGCCCATAATGGAAAACACGACAACACTGTAGTCTATAAAGTACACCTGCAGCCCTAGCTGGTCTGGCTCAGTGGATAGAGTGTCTGCCTGGAACCGGAATGGTCCCAGGTTCGATTTCGGTCAAGGGTACATGCCTGGGTTGTGGGCCCAATCTCCAGTAGCGGGCATACAGGAGGCAGCTGATCAATGATTCTCTCATCATTAATGTTTCTCTCTCTCTCTTTCCCTCTCCCTCTCCCTTCCTTTCTGAAATCAATAAAAATATTTTTTTGGGAAAAATACCTGCAGAAGCCTTGTGACTTGTAGAAGCATCTATTTCTGGGAGTGGAAGTAGGAATGAAGTGAGGAGGGTCTCAAGAGGATTGGATGAAAGTTGCTTCTGAAACAGACTACCTAATCTCCTCCCCAAACTGGTAACTGCCCATCCCTAACCCGCAAAAGAAGGGAGAGAACAAAAGAGAGTTTGGACTGGAGGACACAAGGCAGGCTCACTGCGGAGGCCGCATCAGACTGAGCACATGGTGATTAAGGGAACGTAGATAGACAAGATTTTGGGATCCCAGCCCCCAAGTACGACTTGATTCCCAGAATGGTACCAGACTATTACCCTCCAGGCTGGACAGTAGAGAGTCTGGGAAATCTGAACAGAGAAAAGAGATAAAAAGAGAAAAGATGTAAAGATACTGGCATTGAGGATTCCTAGATGAAGCAATACAATATCGTGTACCCCGTTATTCAGTCACCAAGCTCCAATGCAGCCAGCTTTTAGGTGCAACCTCCCCCCCCTCCTCCCCCCAGCCTTAAATGTGAGCCAGCAACTGAGATCCAGATGCCCCAAGGGAAGCCTCGAATGTGAAAAACAAGTGGTTGAAGCAAACACATGGTGATGATGGGAAGGCCTTGGAGGGAACAGGGAGTGTTCATGGAGAAGAAAACGTTGAGAAACTACACAACCATGAAACAAGAACAGGATGCTACATTTTCTAAAAGGAACCCACAGAGAACACAGAGGAGCCTTTGGAAATTAAAATACTTCAGAGGAAATGAAAAGATCTGAAGGAAGACTGGAAAGTAAAATGGAGGAAATCTTCTAAAAAGCAAAACAAAACCACAATGAGATGAAAAATAAGGGGAAATATAAAGCACCAGGCCAGGAAAACTGAGTAAATATGAGTTCAGAAAGAGCAGAGGAAACGGGAAAAGAAGCATCAATGAAATTATTCAGAAAAAATTTCTCAGAACAAATGGAGGGGAGTTTTTAGATTGAAAGGGTTCACTGAGTGCCCAACACAATGGATAAAAGTTAACCACACCAAGTCTTACCATTGTGCAACTTAAACACTGGGAATGATTCAAGATCCTAAAAGTTTTTCGAGAGAAAACCAGATCATAGAAAAATGATTAGTCAGAATAGTTCTGGACCTCTGAATGGTGACACTGGAAACCTAAAAGATGATAGAGCAATGCCTTAAAAATTTTAAAGACAATCTTTTCTGACCTAGAATTTTATATCCAGCAAAACGTCTTATTTATGAACTAGTATAAGATAGAATGAAGATATTTTTAGAGATGCAAGATTTCAAAAAATTTCCTTCCTTCTCATTTTGGTTTCCTGCCAAAATGAGGGGTAGGCCCCAGAGGGGAAGACATGTTATTTAGGAAAGAAGAGAGCTGTAAGGAGGGGATCCTAGGATCTCAGCTGCACGTACAGCAAGCAGCTCACTCTGAAACCAGCATATGCCCTGGCAAGACAGAGCCAAAAAGATGAGTGGGGTGTACTGGCCTGGACTCTGTGAGAGGAGATTTAGATAACTGGCAGAGTGTGAGGTTGATTCGGTGATAAATTTGTAGGCAGTCATAAAAATGACAATTGCTAACTCTAGAAGGGAAAAGAAAAAAGAAAAAAAAACGCTGGAAAGAAAATGTAAGCAATGTCAGCTACGTGCTTCTGTCCCAAATAGTGTTTACAGTGAATGTAATGCAGACACTGAAGATGGCTTCCACCCAAACGATGTGTGGTATAGGGGCTGGGAAAGGGAGGAACCTAAGCCTCCATCCCCCAGGGAGACAAGTTTAAAATAAAACCTAGCACTGAAAAAATCTAGAAGCAGCAAAACACACATATTAGACATAAGAAACTGGCTGAACACATTTAATGGTTCCCTTTTAGGGAGTGAGATATGGGGATGGAGTCCTATGAAATGCATATGTATCAAAACCTGTATTGTGTTGGACTATTAAACTGTTCATATACAGGATGGGGCAAAAAAGTAGATTTACATTTGTGAGTGCATGAAACAGTTCTTTTATTATTGTTACTAAAGGCCCTGTGCACGAAATTCATACACTGGGAGAGGGGGGTCCTTCAGCCCAGCCTGCACCCTCTCCAATCTGGGACCTTTCAAGGGATGTCTGACTGCCCATTTAGGCCTGATTCTGGTGGGATCAGGTCTAAATGGGCAGTCGGACATCTCTCTCACAATCCAGGACTACTGGCTCCCAACTGCTCACCTGACTGCCTTCCTGATTGCCCCTAACCGCTTCTGCCTGCCAGTCTGATCACCCCCTAACCACTCTCCTGCCAGCCTGATTGATGTCTAACTGCTCCCCTGTCAGCCTGTTTGCTCCCAACTTCCCTCCTTTGCCAACCTGGTCACCCCTAACTGCCCTCGCCTGCAGGCTTGATTGCCCCCAACTGCCCTCCCTTGCAGGTTTGATCATCCCCAACTGCCCTCCCTTGCAGTCCTTGTCCCCCCAACTGCCCTCCCCTGCTGGCCATCTTGTGTCCACATGGGGGCAGCCATCTTGTGTGTTGGAGGGATGGTCAATCTGCATATTACTCTTTTATTAGATAGGATTATATTGGGTCGGCAACTAAGTAATTGCGGATTTTTAAAAAATCAAAGACAATTTTTTCATGGAACTGAATAACTTTATTCTGTAATGTATTGCCCATTTTGATCAATGACCTTTTGCCATCTTTCAGGCAGCATCATAATCCCACGTTCAAAAAACTTCTGGTTTTATTAGCAAAAAACTGAATCAGGTACGATTTGACATCATCATCATTATTGAAATTTTTACCATTCAAGAAGTTTTGTAAAGATCGAAACAAAAAGTAATCAGATGGTGCAAGGTCAGGACTATATGGTGGAGGTGGCAAAACATCCCAACCAAGCTCCATTAATTTTTGCCGAGTGACCAAAGATGTGTGTGGCCTTGCATTGTCATGATGGAATACAACACCTTTTCGATTTGTCAATTCGGGCCGCTTTTCTTCAACTGCATTGTTTAATTTCATTAGTTGTTCAATGTAGACATCAGAATTGATCGTTCGGTTGGGTGGTAAGAGTTCAAAGTAGACAATTCCTTTGTAATCCCACCAAACTGATAACAAAACCTTCTTTTGATGAATATCAGCTTTTGATGTTGTTTGAGTTGGTTCACCTGGCCTGCTCCATGATCTTTTCCGCTTGATATTGTTGTAAACAACCCATTTTTCATCGCCAGTTATCAGTAGTTTTAAAAATGGATCATTTTCATTATGTTTCTTTAGCAAATCACAGCTGCTAATGTGTTGCGTTAACTGTGATTCTTTCAGTTCGTGAGGAACCCATGTATCGAGTTTTTGAACATAGCCAAGTTGTTTTAAGTGATTTTCAATGCATGTATGTGATACATGAAGCTTCTCTGCAATCTCACGTGTTGTACTGTGACAGTCCGAATTGATTATTGCTTTGATTAGGGCGTCATCAACTTCAACTGGACGACCAGAGCGTTTTTCATCTTTGAGTGAAAAATCACCAGAACGAAATTTGGCAAACCAATTTTGACACTGCCGTTCTTTTAAGGCTTCGTCACCATAAACAGCACATAACTTTTTATGAGCTTGCGATGCGTTTTTCCCTTTGCGGAAATAAAAAAGCAAAATATGATGAAAATGTTCCTTTTGATTTTCCATTTTTCAACGAACGCCAAACGAAAACTACAAAACAGATCAAAAAACTTTTTTTACTGATTAACAGCTGAATAGCCAACTATCAAATAACAAAATGTGTTTTACATTTGTACTACATCTGCAAACCTAAAAATTCAACTGAATTTTTGTTGTGTGAAACCCGCAATTACTTAGCTGCCGACCCAATATATATATTTTTTGTTTTTTAATTACATATATTTTTTTTATTGATTTCAGAGATGAAGGGAGAGGGACAGGGAGACAGAAACATCAATAAGAGAGAATCATCAATCAGCTGCCTCCTGACGTTCCACACTGGGAATCGAGCCACAATCTGGGCATGTGCCCTGACAGGAATCAAACTGTGACCTCCAGGTTCATAGGTTGATGCTCAACCACTGAGCCCCGTGGCTGGGTTTATTATTTTTTTAAAATATATATGTTTTTATTGATTTTAGAGAGAGGAAAGGAAGAGAGAGAAAGAAACATTGATAGACTGCCTCCTGCACACCCCCTATGGGGGATCAAACCCCCAACCTGGGCATGTGTCCTGACCAGGAATCAAACTGTGACCTCCTGGAATTGTGACCTCTGGGAATCGAACCAGTGGGACTAGGCTCAACCAACTGAGCCACACTGGCCAGGCCTCTTGTATTATTATTTATTACATTATTTTCCATACAAACAACTGTAAACCTACTTTTGCTCCACCTTGTATAACGAATAAAAACTGAACATTAAAAAAGGTGAGACTTGACAGCTGCGCTCTAAGGTCCTGTTGAAATATAAAGTCCTTTTTGTTGGAGGGTCAGTGAGGGGACACATAACACGAAGGAGAAGCTGACGGCCTCATTCTTAATTGGGTGCTTAGTTACTTTGTGGCATATTTCTTTCTGGTCTTTCTAGATGTAGAATGTGTGTATTTGTTTACTGTGTATTTTTTGCTAATTTGTTATTCTTTTTTTATAGTTTTTTATAAATGATTGGGTTTTTTTTTGTTTTGTTTGTTTGTTTGTTTAATATATTTTATTGATTTTGTACAGAGAGGAAGGGAGAGAGATAGAAAGCTAGAAACATCGATGAGAGAGAGTCATCAATCAGCTGCCTCTTGCACACCCCCTACTGGGGATATGCCCGCAACCAAGGTACATGCCCTTGACCGGAATCGAACCCGGGTCCCTTCAGTCCCCAAGCCAACGCTCTATCCATTGAGCCAAACCGGTCTCGGCTATAAATGATTGTTTTTACATAACAATACATTTTAGATGTTTTTCCTTGTTCACCATCCTTCTGCTCCGTCATTTTATTTATTTGAATGTATCTTTATTGTTGAATGATTACAGATGTCCCTCTCTCCCACCCCTACTCCTCAAGCCACCCCCCCCCCCGCCAGCCTACTGCACTATTGTCTCTACTCCATCATTTTAAAATCACATACATTGTATAGTCCCCATTTTATGCATGTACCATATTTATTTGACATACCTCACACTGTTGGACATTTAGGTTATTCACGAATACTCATTCCTTTCTGGGTTTATCTAGATGACCAAATAGGCCAATTTTTCCAATGCATGTTTCTTCTACAGAACCTTTTTTTTCTTCTTTTTCATTGCAGTGGTCTCTGGTTCGTCATCCAGCTCTAAGTATGACCCTGAGATCCTGAAAGCTGAAATTGCCACTGCAAAATCCCGGGTAGGGCCTCTTGGTCTGTGCTGTTGTGGGGGTCACAGGGGCATCCTTAGGTTACTAGCCCACCTGCGAGACAGAGTGGGTGCTCCCACCAGGCAGGGGCAGCCAGTGCTGACCCACAGGCCCTGAATAGTAACAATAGGTTGTCGTCATAGTAACGGTAGTGGTAACAGCAGCTATCCTGTCGGCTAGCACTCCCTATATGCAAGGTGCAGTGCGGAGAGCTTCATGTTATTCTTCATATCATTAGGACAGCCCCATGAAGTAGCTCCTAGCAAGATCTACATTTAAAGATGAGCAATCAGAGGCTTGGGGGGGTGGGGGGCGTATTTAGTGCAGAGTCAAAGGGACCAAGGAGTACTCCAGAGTTCGCAGTGTAGTGCACTATCTCAGCTACTGCTAGTGCTGCATGATCCTATTTAACTACTTCGTGATAGCTTTTACTGATGTGGAAACTGAGGCCAGCATTGTGCTCAAGGTAAAGCCAGCATTTTGAACACTGGTTTAACTCAACTTCAGATATGTTCTACAAACTCAGATGCCTGTAAAACAGAAAAGTGGGGAGAGGGCAGGGGGAGGCAGTAGGGAGCAGTGGGGACGTAACCTAGAGAGGTGAGCCCTATCTATCAGGGTAGTTGAATTTCTCTAGCCTACTGTGGCCATGCAGGACTGCGGGTTCAATGTTGGCAGGTCTCCTAGTATTTTTAGAGAACTCTATATTTAGGATTAGTATATGAAATTTCTCAATATTTAATTATTAGCAACTAATTTTTTTAAAATTTTAGTAACCCTGCTGGCCAAACCAAAGCATTCCTGCTGGCCGGATCTGGCTCTCGGGCCACGTCTCCCTCTTGGGGTTATTATATTTCTTTTTGCATCCATGCACAGCACTCCCCAGGACCTGCTTTCAGTAACTTGCGGCTCTGGGGATTGCCATCATCCACCAGGACAGGAAAGGGGGGGCTCAGAGAGGCGAGGTGGCCTGAGAGGGGTCACCCAGCTGGGCCAGGCGTAGGCCAGGCTCTATCCCATCAGCCAGCTCCTGTCCACTTCCTGTTTTCCTGGAGCGAGGACTGGCTGTGGGTGACCCGCAGGACAACCAGGCTGGGATGCCGACTGAACGGGCAGCACTGGGGTATTGTGACCACTGGTTATTGCTCTGAGTCATTATTATAGGGGCGGCAGGTGGGGAAGGGGCGCCTCCGGGCTCCCCTCAGGGGGAAGCAGCTTGCAGCTCCTCTGGCCTCTGACCTCGCCCCGTGTGTGGTCTCCCATCATCCAGGTCAACAAGCTGAAGAGGGAGATGGTTCACCTCCAGCAGGAGTTGCAGTTCAAAGAGCATGGCTTCCAGACCCTGCAGAAGTGAGTGCACCTGCCCTCCCGGGCTCCCCCTTCAACCTCCCCCCTTCTCCAAACGTGGCTCTCTAATCCCTGGCTCTCAGTTCTCTCCACTGGCATGTACCGAACATGCCGTCACCAAGGTTGGGGTTTAGAAAGAGAAAAGCGGAATCATTTCTGACCACGGAGTTCGCACCGTCCCCTGAATTCCTGAAGCCGGCAAAGGTCCCTCCCTCCGTTCCGTTGGGGTTTATGAACCATGGAGGCTTAGGAGCCAGTTTGGAAAGAAGTACTGAGCATTTCTGTGTCCCGTCTCTTCCTCTCCACTGGAAACTCGCATGCAGGAAAACAAAGCCAGCTCTTTTCTTTCCCCCGTGGCCCCGGAAACGGAGCTTCATCTGGAGGGCTCCACCGAGGGCACAAGCTTCCACAGGGAATTCCTGGAGGCAGGGCGTGACGCCAGGCGCACTGTACTTTCGGGGTGACTCGGGAATTTTCAGGGAACTCTGACCAAACGAATTTTTCGCTTTTAGAAGCTGACTTGAAGCTAAGCAAGGTAGAGCTCTGTAGGGGTTTTTTGAGCTCTGTTGGCTTTTTTGCCCTGTTGTGATTGTACCAATACAGTTACCCTGTGCCCAGAGCACTTCCATGTTTCTGCATGGGTGATCTCGTGTTATCCTCACTGCCACTCAGTAAGGAGTGTTCTTTCAGATCATTCCATTTCGTAGACGAGGAAACTGAGTCACGTAGTAAGTGCTCCATCAGTATGAGTTTACTGCTGTTCTTAACCATGTGTATAACCCAGGCTGAGGCATCTCAGATGGGCACAGCAAGCATCTCCGATGGGCTCCCGGACCGTCATCCTAAAGGAGCCTGGCTCTCTTGGATGTTCCAGGGAGGACATTCCCTAGCTTTCTCTGTCTTCACGGACATCTCAAATTCCAGGGAAGTCACATTTGTCCAGTCAGTGGCATCTGTGGTCACTTGCTCTCTCCCTGACTCATCCTCTGAACGTCAGTCCACTCCCATCTACCTGTGGCCAGAGCCTCAGGCCTCTGGATATCTACCTGCAAGTCCTATGAGTGGAGGGAACTATGACCACCATAGGGACCTGCTGGTCTTATTAACATCGCCCTCCTCCCCCTGCCCCCCTTTACCAAGCCCCCACTGCCTGGGGTGACTCACCATGAACCTTCCCCCCAACACAAGGTATTAGAAAGTGTATGGCTTTGTATTAAAGGTTATACACAAGACATTTTTTATATTGTAAATTCTGGTTTTCTGTAAACTAGTAAGTGCTTATGTAGATATGCTATTTAGATATGCATATCTATGCATGCTAATCCTGTCTTTCGAAGCAGACTCTAATCTCTTTAAGATAAAGGACCTTGCCCTAGCTGGTTTAGCTCGGTGGTTAAAGAATCAGCCCTTGGACTTGAAGGATCTCTGGTTTGATTCTGGTCAAGGGCTTGTACCTCCGTTGCATGCTTGATCCCCAGACCTCGCTAGGGCTCCTGCAGGAGGCAGCCAATTGATGTCTCTCTTTCTCTCTGTCTCTCAAAATCAATGGGGAAAATATGCTCGGGTAAGGATTAACAACAACAACAACAAGAAAGGGACTTTGCTTCATGCTTCTTGGCAGTCTTCAGTGCCACGGAAGGTTGAGGGCAGTGATGTGAGCTTAGAAAATGCCTGTTTTTGGCCTACAGAGCAAGTAGCCCTTCTAAGGCCTCCACTGAGCAGTGGGGCAGCTTCTGAGCACACGCTTTAGATGCCCGCCCGCCCGCCTCCCCCTCCGGCAGGCAGCCCTCGGGAGCTTCTGGTGAGAACCCTGCCCATTATTCTCTGAGCCACCACAAACCTGTTTTACCACTTTGTCACCCTGTCGCAGCATTGAGAATTCTTGTCGTTTGGTAAGCTGAGCTGAAACCCCAAGGACAAGCCTCCTATTTTTCTCCCCTCTCCCTCCGCCCTCCCGATGTTTGATATCAGCCCCGATAAGACTTCCAGCTCGGCTCTGGCTGCCCACGCTCCCGCCGGAAGCCAGCTGCCCATGTCCCGTGCCAGGAACATCTGCCTTAATGCACACCTTGGCTCAAAGGGTTAGGAATACAGCCTCCCAAGGTGGTGGCCTGGGTTCGAATCCCAGTTCCCTGGGAACCTGGGGAAGTGGCATCATCCCTCTGTCAGCTGTAAAGATTGAATTGGAAAATTCACCCCAAACGCGTGACAGTGCCTGGCACCCAGGGGCGGCCCAGTGAGTGTAAGGGGGAGTGGGTGACCACTAGCGAGTCGCCCCCTTGAACTTGGGGGGAGGAACTCGGATGAACTGGAGGCTATTCCGGGATTATCACTGTGCCTCATTCTCCTCCTTCCATTGACTTTAGGCCTGAAGATAAGTTTTTGTTCTCCTACTTTATAGATGAGGCAGTTGGGGGGTGGGGTGGGTGTGTGTTAAATATATACCCAAGGCCTCCAAATTGGTAAGCGTCAGAGCAGGGGTTAGAACCAATTGCTATTGTATTCTGAAGCTCATGTCCAAATACGTCTCTTCCTGGCATCATCCCAGGAACCCCCTCCCCATCCAGAAAACGTAAGCCCCTTCATAGGGGATAATACAGTCACTTCCTCCTGCCCTTCTCTCTCTCTCTCTCTCTCTCTCTCTCTCTCTCTCTCTCTCTCTCTCTCTCTCTCTCTCTGCATCCCATGGGGGACAGTGAAACTTGCCATTTCTTCAGTTCATTGTCACCAGCCCATTTTCAAAAGACGATGGGGACTGGAGGGTACCTCTCAGGGGAGAATGAAAAGCAAGACGGAAGCTAGGCTTGGGGACTGCCCGCTGCCGCAAGACCGTGTGAATAAGAAAGAGGGGGAGCAGGGCAGCGTGGGGTCTCTCTGCGTGTCCCCCAGGCCGCCCCGCCCGGGGGAGAGCCGCCTGTACAGGACGGGGAGGAGGTGGCTTCGGGCCGAGCCTCTGCTCGCTTCTCTGTCTGTGGCTGTGCTGTGGCCACCGGGCTCCTGTGGCTGCGGTGCTGAGAGAAAGGAAGCTGCGCAATTTGGAAATCCTAAAACACATGCACCCCTCGCACCCCTCACACCCCCTCCTCCCCTAACCACACAACTTTTCTTTTTCCTAAAAAAAAAAAAAGATGCATTCACTGTGTTCATAATGGTGACCCTTTGTTCCCCTCCCCCCACTCCCCCACCCCCCAAACCCGAAAGAGTTCCTCTCTGAGCTGCTCTCCGAGCCAAATTCCAGAGCCGGGGTTGCTAAGGCCCCTGAGAGAATCAGGTAGAGGCTGTGCGGGCCCAGGGGCAGAGACAGACTGCTTCTGTCTCGCCTGCTGGGGATTCACAGCCATCCTTCCTGCCGGCACGGCCCCTCCCGAGCCCCCAGCCCTGGGTGTGCCCAGATAAACGGGCGTCTCCCCTCACCAGCACCCTTCTGGGGGCAGGGCCGCCTCAGGCCCGGACACTGGCTCCAGGGACCCTCCTCTCCTCGGAGCATCTTGGGCGCCTCCGCTGTGGGAAGCTCCCTCCAGGCCAGGTTCTCAAACTCAATCTGAGGCCAGAGTTAAGGTACCCCAGTTCGTGTGACCTGGCAGGCTTGCGCAGGCCCGAGTCCTCGAAAGGAATAGACGGGCTATTTTTAGTGGGAGACACAAACGGGGCTTTGTTTGCTTTCTGAGGAGCTGAAATAACGGACAGGGAGCAGGAGGGCTGTGCTGCTGAGACCAGACCGCTGTGCGTCCCTTCCTCCTTCCCTCCCTCCCTCCCTCTCTCCTTCTCTCCTTCTCTCCTGCCCAGAGACACAGGCAATGGAACCAGGAAGGAAACCTGCGCCAGTCCTGATTCCCACTCAGGTTATTTTTAGCTCAGGACAGGTTGGCGTCTAGATGGACGCAGAAAGGAATGCCCCTGCGCAGTTTCTACGTGAATAATGGGCTTGTGGTGTTCCCTCCACTGTCAGGTTGCTCTTTCTCTGCCCTGGATCGAAGCCTCGAGCCTCGCTTTTGGCAAAAGTGTGACGCAGTTACAACTCTGTGCCCCCTGGACCTTGTCATCGCCCCAGCCTTTTTCCCTGGGGGCATCTCTGGTGGGGTCTGACCTTCCGAAAACATCATGACCCTTCACTTTTTTTTATTTCCTCTCCCCCTACCCCCACCCCGTCACAGTGAAGTATTTTAATCCCTTACATTTGTCTACAGCTTGCAGACCCCCTGTTCACCACCCATTTCCCATCCTTTATCCCCCTTGATATTCCTCACTGCTCTGTGACGTGGCTGGGCAGGTGACATTACCCAGATTTTTTGGGGGGGAGGAAACAGGCTCCCGGTGGCTGAGGGCCAAGCCCAAGGTCAAGGTGCTACTGGCATCCAATGGGCAGAGGCCAGGGATGGCATCAAACATAGGACTTCCTCCTACAAAAAGGGATGATCCCGCCTTAGCTATCGAGAGTTCTGAGGTTAAAAAAAAAAAAAAAGTTCTGAGGTTGAAGTTGAAGTTTTACCCGGATTAAAGGACTGATCTATGTCGGAAGCTAAAGCTCCTCAAACATTCAAGGACACGATCCCACAAATTATTCATTAGAACACAGCGTAATGAACGCAGTGTTGCAGCTAGGGTGCAGTGTGTTCTGGGAACACCTGGCCCAGCCTGGAGGGCCCAGGGAGGTAATCCGGGAAGGCTTCCTGTAAGAGCTGACACTTAGCACACCCTTGGCTTCAAGAGTGGTCTTGCTTCTACAGCCCCACACTAGGGACATTTGCAATGGAACATGGTCCTTTGGTGCCTTAGTCCATTGGCAGGACAGAGAGAGGAACATTCTTGAGAGAACGAAGCTCGGTGGTCTGTACTTTCCCCCCGGGGGACACGGTGTTTCTCACCCCATCTTTGACCTTTCACGTTGATTATCTCCTAGGATCGACCAGAAAATGTCTGACGCTCAGGGCAGCTACAAACTGGATGAAGCTCAGGCTGTCTTGAGAGAAACGAAAGCCATCAAAAAGGCCATCACATGTGGAGAAAAGGAAAAGCAAGATCTCATTAAGGTACCAAAGTGCCCATGTCTCCTGGGCACCTTCCTATGCCAGGTATTTCGGACCGCTGAGGCTTAAGTCAGACGGGCCAGGGAGCCCTGGCTGTGGCTTCTCCATGTAACAGCTCCCTCGTGGGAAAAGTGGGGGTAAATCCTGGCCGTTCCTGGCAGGGCTGTGGTCAGGATTAAATACAATCGTGGTAAAGCTGACAGGTCGTGAGTATGAACTGTGCTAGCACTTTGCTCGCCTCATTTCATCAGCACCAAGGCCCTACGAGATGGGGTCTGTGATTTCGCCCATTTTGCAGGAGAAGACACTGAGGCACAGAGAGGTTCATCAGCTAGCTCTGGTCACACAGCCAGGAAGTAGCAGAACAGGGGGATCTCAGGCAGTGTGGCTCCAGAGCCAGCGTCCACGCCAGTCTCTCCCGTGGAAGGGGCCTGGCACAGCGCCTGGCACCTAGCAAGTACCCACTCCCTGCTGGCTCTGTACAGATAAGCAGGAGGTGTGGGTGAGCCTGGGTTCCCAAGGTGGTGAGGGAGGCACACGGAGAGTGACAGACCCGGCCCTCCCCCCCGGGAAGGTGTGCCACTGACCCTGTCCTCCCCGCTCAGAGCCTCGCGATGCTGAAGGACGGCTTCCGGACCGACCGAGGGTCCCACTCTGACCTGTGGTCCAGCAGCAGCTCTCTGGAGAGTTCGGGTTTCCCGCTGCCGAAACAGTACCTGGACATGAGCTCCCAGACGGACATCTCGGGGAGTGTGAGTAGCAGTGCCTGCTGCTGGGGGCCTCGTGAGGGACCGCCCCCAGGAGACTGCTGGGAGGATGGCCACCTCCTCGTGGCTCACCTGGGGGGCCGGCTGGTGGCTCTCTGTGGGGCTGGATGCACTCGCGCGCTCTCTCTCTGTCTCTGTCTCTGTCTCTCCCTCTGTCTCTCTCTCTCTCTCTCTGTCTCTGTCTCTCTCTCTTTTGTTAATTTTCACCAGAGGATATTTTTCTCATTGATTGTTAGAGAGAGTGGAAGGGAGGGCAGAGGAGGGGGGAGTGAGAGAGGGAGAGAGAGAGAAAGAGAAACATCAATGACACATCAACTGGCTGCCTCCCACACATGCCCAGACCTGGGGCTGGGATCAAACCTGCAACCTAAGATACATGCCCTTGACTGGGAATCGAACCTGTGATCCTTCAGTGAACAGGCCAACACTCTAACCACTGAGCTACACCAACCTGGGCTGGAGCTCCGTTCTCTTGCAGAGCTCCTGGCCCCAGCATGACAACAGATGGTGGCCTGAGGAAAAGCTGGCACTGACTCCGCGTCCTCAGTGTCACTGGGCCACGTGCTTGCGTCTAGACGCTGCACGGAAAGTGTTTTTGAAGGACTAAGGGTCTTCTTCCCTTCACACGGTTGTGCAGCACTGTTCTGTGTTTCTCTCACCGGCCGGAAAACAGGGCGTTCTCCTCCCATTGGTCATAAAACAATGCGTGCAGCTTGCAGACCACTGCTGACTCCCAGCTCCCAGGCTCCGTCCGGTCGCCGTGGTGAACGGTGCCGCCTCTGTCCAGACGTAGCTCGTGAAAGCAAGAGCAGGCAGCCCGTGGCTCGGGGGCGCTCTTGTGTCCTAGAGCAGGTGGCATTGAACGACGCATCGCCCGGCCTCTGTGGCTAAAATGCTCTTCCTGTCTGGTTTCTGTAGCTGTGTTCCCACTTGCGATGAGAAGCTCTGTCCACGTCTGATTGGGTGAGCCTCATAGCTTCTTGCTGCTCTCGACAGCAAACAGGCCTTCCCCTCTCCACCCCCACCGCCCGTGTCCAGCTACCTGCTGCCTGTGGGCCGAAACATTTGAGAACGAGCTGTGTGCCTCCTTCCGGTTCTAGAACCTTCTCTTTGCTCACCCAGTGTCTCAGTCCTGACTGCAGCCTCCTGAGTTGTCGGCTAGCCTCCTCCCCCGTGCCCCCAGAATGGCTTTTCCTGTGGATTGGCTGCCCCTGTTTCCTCCTGACCAGCTGACCTCCGTGCTTCTGTGGCTTGAACGGGCTCCAAGCCGTGTGCGGCTGCGAGATGATAGCCTGGGCCCTCAGCTTCTCTTCTAGGCGTGACTGGTGTCTGCGTTTGGGGCTCTCCCCATGGCCTGCAGAAAGGAAAGCGTTTCTGCCACCTAACTAGCTTCCTTGCGATGCAATGCGGTGCACACAGCCAGCTCAGTAATTGGGGGCTATTCTTAGCCACGTTCCCCGAAAGCCTCCCATATCTCCTGAGCTCCTGAAACGCCACCGGGCCCTGGGCACTGGGCACTGGGCACTGGCCACAGCAGCCACGTAACCACCCGGACTCTGTTCTCCCCTCCAGTTCGGCACCAGCAGCCACAATCAGTTGGCGGAGAAGGTCCGATTGCGCCTTCGGTACGAAGAGGCTAAGAGGAGGTAACCGGGGGCTGGGGGGTCCTAACAATAGAATTACTGTTGCCGACGGTCCACTCTTGCCTCGTCTTGCCTAATCCTGCAGAGATTATGAAGATAGGTGATAGAACCATCGTGTTGGAATCCTCTCTGAAACTCAGAGAGGAAGTGACTGACCCCCAGACACTGAGCTGGGTAAAGGGTGGAGCTATGCTTTGGACCCACGTCTGGCAAACCTCAGAGCCTACTTACCTTTTCACCTGCCGACCTCCGTGTCTGTCATCAGGGTTCTCCAGTGATCCAGTTTGGTTTGAAGGAACACAACTAGGGTTTTAGTAACAGGCCAGGGAGGAGCCTGCAACCAAGGTATGTGCCCTTGACTGGAATCAAACCTGGGACCCTTTTGTCTGCAGGCTGACGCTCTATCCACTGAGCCAAACCAGCTAGGGCACACAAATAAAATAATACTCAGAGATGACTTATTGAGAGCATCTGTTAGAGTCAGACATTGTACTGAAACATTCACATATAAAAAATAATAATAACAATTTAAAAAATAAGACATTCACATATGCATCATCTCATTTAATATTAAAAGCAAGATATAGGCTAGCTTATATTGTCTCCATGCTAGAGAAGAAAAAGGTAAGGTACAAGATATTTAATGATTCTTCAACGTGGTGAAGTCAGAATTGGAACCCTGAACAATCTGGCCTCAAGTCCATCTTTCTTTGCACTGAGCCAGCCTTACCAGGAAGTAGCCCACAGAACATTGAGAGAGGTGAATGAAGACAGGCATACATACCCATTTATCCTTAGACTAAATTGCCTGGCCAAAGACCTTCCACGCCAGCCCAGGTAGAGTGTGGCAGTGCCCAGCTCTGGCCTCTGTGAACTCCCTGGGAGCAGCAGAACCCTTTGCTGCAAGGCAGAAATTCGACAGAAACTAGAAGGAATTTTTTGGCTTATTGAACTTGAGTCCTGGGGTAAGCCAGCTTCAGGCACAGCTGTCTCCAGGGATTCAGCTGACATTATAAAGACTCAGTCTCTCTTCTTCTCTCCATCCTGCCTGCCTGCCTTTGGGTTGAGCGGCAGCATTTCTAGGCTTACCTACTACCAGGGTAGCAACCCCAGTGGAAAGAGAGAGCACCCACCTTTCCCAAAAGTTGTAACAAGTTTGGGGTCTGAGACGCCCTGGCTTTTCTGGGTGGAACCATCATTTTTGTAGGGTGGGGAGAATTTGAGTGATCTGAAGGCCTAGGCCTGGGTAATGTGCCCATTTCTTAAAGGGAGGTTGATGTCCGCTTTGTGGGAACCAAACAACTTGAAAATTTGGGAAGAGTGACTTCCCCCCAAAAAATTTGGAAGATTGTGACCAAAAGAGGGAGACGGGATACTGGGAAGTTAGGGAAAAATACTCCCTGTGCATTATTTCAGCTCCCCCTAGAGGTTCCATAAACAATAGGACTTTTACGTTTGGATGGCCACTTCTTTTGACTTCTGAAGGGCACTGTCTAACCTAGGGGTGTCGAACTCAATCAGAGAAGGGGCCAAAATCTAAAATCCAGCCTAAATTGCGGGCCGAATGGTTTACTGAACAGTCATAAACTGTCATTGTGATGGAAACGCAGCGGAGTGCAGTGATGACAACGCGGTTCGGGCCACATTGCAAGGCCTGGCGGGACGGATTTGGCCCGCGGGCCTTGTGTTTGACACATGTGGTCTAACCCCTGGATGTCCTCCAGCCTGTGGTGACGCCGGTCTTAGGTCATCAGTTCTGGAGAGACTAAGATTGGAATCTTCCCTCTGGGGTTGAGCCATTCTTATCACAGAAGTCCTATCACATATTCTCATCACACCCTGCCTCATCTGCCTTTATCCAGCTTCCTGCCTCCCCTCCCTCTCATTCCGGGAGTGAGGGACTGAGTCTGCCGAGGGGGAAATCTAGGCTGCTAGACCTGAGGGCTGGAGGCCCAAGCGAGGCTGTAGTGCAAGGTCAGGCCATTGTCTGCCAAGCTTGGTCGCCTGTGCGTTTCTGGGCAGCGAGTCTAGTAGATTCTCCAAAGGATGCAGGGCCTGAAGTTTGAGGAGCACAGGCTGGGAGAAAGAGCCACTAGGAAGGACATGCAAGAAAGCACCCGTCACTCCTAAAATGTCCCACGTGCGATTGAGCTGCTGCCAGACCTGGCCATTCCACTGTCCTCAGAGCAGCTGGAGAACAGCAGCAAGAGCATTATCCCTGTCTTGATGGATTGCCGTCTATGTGATTATGGAATTTAAATTAATTAGCTCTAAGAATCCATGTGTGCTGAGACCCTTGGCTGGGGAGTGGGCAAACCGAGAAGTATCTCTCTCTGGAATTTCCACTACACGGCACAGACATCTTGTCTCCCACTCATGTTTTGATAAACGGAGAGTTGGGCCGCATTGTCTGCAGATCTGATCAAACTGGGAGTCCAGAGGCATGGGCTCTCAAAGGTCAAAGCCATGCTGTGGCTTTCAGTCATAGGTGAGCCTCCCTGGACATGTGTCCAGCAGGGTGACCACCAGGTCTCACCTACCCTTTGGGGACCAGGAGAGGCTAGGTCCTAGGACATGGTAGCTAAAAGCACTTTGCAAAGGCTAAACCCTAAAGGATCACATGGCTGCCTTTAGACACGGTTATCAGTGCTCCTAATTATGCTGTGGACCTTCATTTGGTTCAGTGATGATCAGACCTACTATCGGCAAGCACTGGGCAGTGTGTAAAGAGCCCCGGATGGCATGTTCTTACTTGGTCCTCAGAACCCACCTCGCAGGCACAGGATTCTGGGTCTCTAAGAAAGTTAAGGGGCAGGGCTCCCAACTCCTTCCTTACTGTTATTAAGTAACCTACAGTATACCAGGGAAAGTGCTAGAAGCTCGTGGTGCCAGAATGACTTCTTAACAAAAATTACCTTTCTTTCATCAAGAAGGCCAGAGCCGCCCTAGCCAGTTTGGCTCAGTGGATAGAGCGTCGGCCTGCGGACTGAAGGGTCCCAGGTTCAATTCCAACCAGGGGCATATGCCCAGACTGTGGACTCAATTCCCAGTAGGGGATGTGCAGGAGGCAGCCAATCAATGATTCTCTCTCATCATTGATGTTTTTCTCTCTCTTCCTCTCTTGAAATTAATAAAGACATATTTAAAAAGAAGAAGAAGAAGAAGGCCACAGCCAAAACCCCAGCTCCAGGCCTCAGTCCCCAGGTCCACAGTTGCTCACAGGGCGCTGCCACCACGCCCACTGGTTAGCAGTTGTAGTCTCAGCTAAGGTTGTAGGGGGCCGGTGCCTACCATTGGTTTAGCATGTGTTATCTCCCAAAGAGGTGCATACATTAAACATGATATAATAACTGCATAATGGCTGAGTTTCACAATAATTCTTAATGATGAATAATTGTCTTTACATGTGAGAATGGAATTTAAATTAATTAACTCTAAGAATCTGTGCCTACTGAGACACTTGGCTGGGGAGTGAGCAAGGCTCAGGGAGTTTGCCCAATGCCATGTACCTGATCAACCGTCAAACCAGGTACCAACAACAGAGGCAGGGAGAACATTTATTGATCACCTACTATGTGCCAAGTAGCGTGCTCTGAGAGTTTATGGATGCGTCCCAGAGCCTTCAACCACAGCTCATGAGGAATGGTTGCTGTCTTTAGAGAGATTATGACTCGTCCAAGGTCACATAGCTAGTGGTAAGAGGCAGTTGCCTGGTGATGAACCCAGCTCTCGATTCCATTCTGCCAGGCTAGTGTCTCCCCCGCCCCCCCATCTCCCACAAGGACATTGCCTTGTTTATGCTTCTACCCCATCCCTGCAGCGCCTGTTCATTGTTGGCACTTGTCAGGCACTGCCTTGGTCTCCTAGATAAAAATATGTTCCTGGAGGCGACACGCTGAGCAAAACAAAGTCAGGAACTGTCAGGCTGCTCGGAGGATGTCACGGCTCCTTGGATCTCACAGCCTTGGACGTGCCATCTGTTACCCTGCTCCCCGCAATGCCACAGGCACACCGGTCATGCCCCCCCTTCTCGGCCTGCAGGATCGCCAACCTGAAGATCCAGCTGGCCAAGCTGGACAGCGAGGCCTGGCCCGGAGTGCTGGACTCGGAGAGGGACCGGCTGATCCTGATCAGCGAGAAGGAGGAGCTGCTGAAGGAGATGCGCTTCATCAGCCCCCGGAAGTGGACGCAGGGCGAGGTGGAGCAGCTGGAGATGGCCCGCAAGCGGCTGGAGAAGGACCTGCAGGCAGCCCGGGACACCCAGAGCAAGGCCCTGACTGAGAGGTGGGGCGGGGCCGGGGCTGAGGCTGGGTGGGGGTCAGAGGGAGGAGGGCGGGGTGGGGGGCCCTTCCCTCCTCGCCCATCCTGGGGCTGCCAGCGTTCCCTGTGTTTCAAGAAAAGTGTTAGGATTTATTTATTTATTTTTAAATATTGACAACTAATCCAAAAGTGGTTTGTTTGTTTTTTAATATATTTTATTGATTTCAGAGGAGGGAGAGAGAAACATCAATGATGAGAGAGAAGCGTTGATCAGCTGCCTCCTGCATACCCCGCACCAGGGATCCAATCCGCAACCTGGGCACATGACCTGACTGGGAATCCAACTGTGACCTCCTGGTTCATAGGACAACGCTCAAGTGCTGAGTCACACTGGCTGGGCAAATCCAAACATGTTTTTTAAAAAACACTATGAAGGCTAAATCAGCTTCTTCCTGTGGGCCCGACTTAATCTGCAAATCACTGGTTTACATTCTTTGCTTTCAGCCTTGTCACAAACTTTATTTCCTTCATTGTCACACCAATATGCACACCCACACTGCACAAAGCACAGCCTCGCACCCACAGGAGGTCCCGTCAGCCCCAGCTTCTCATTTATGCATTCATTCATTCATTCATTCATTGTGTCCATTACCTGTCATACAGTCATTCATTTAAACCTCCTGGCAACCCTGAGGTTGATTTTCATTTTATAGATGAGGAAACTGAGGCTCCCCCAACATCCCTGAGTGGCAGAGCTGTGCGTAGGTCCCAGGCCCACTGGATCCGGAGCCCATGCTTGCTTTAGGCTGCTGCCCACGTAGAAGGTCTTTCATGACTGCCTTCGCCCCTGGGTGGCTTGGCTGAAACTGTGAGTTCACACAGCCAGTCTGGGAAGCCAGGACCTCCACCCTGCAGCAGCTGCTGAGCGGGTGACCTAAAGGTCCCCCGGGACAGGGCCCTCTAAGGGACATGCAGAGTGCAGCCGGGGGCATGTGGGCAGGAGGAAGGGAGACCCTGGGGAAGGGTAGGGACAGGCTGAAAGCTGTGAGCCTCTGCAGCGAGAGGAGAAAGCTGACTCAACAGTCTTCGCATCTACAGCTGCTTGCTTCTGGACCACGATTGTCTGGCTGTGCCCATCCCTCTGCCTCCTGCCTCCTTTGGTCTCTTTCTGGACCCCATGTTCGTTTGTTCTCTCTCTCTCTCTCTCTCTCTCTCTCTCTCTCTCTCTCTCTCTCTCTCTCTCTCTCTCTCCCTCTCTCTCTCTCTCGTCTCTCCTCTCCTCCTCTCCTCTTCTTTCTTCTTTCTTCTTCTCTCTTCTCTCTTTTCTTTTCTCTCTCTCTCTCCTGTGTCTGGAAATGGGAGTATTATGAGTCTCATCTTCACACAATAGCCTTTCCATTCAAGATACCTTTGAGGACAGGATTAGTTAAGCCACACCACAAGGCCTGCCAATCCCCCGTCACAAATCAGTCAGAATGACAGACATCCCAACACCCCTCGTCCTAACCCCTCCCCTCCCCCCCTGTGGGGCCTCCCACCACTTCTTAGCATGGCTGTGCATTCATGCAGGGTGCTTGTTAGAGTGTGAGCTCCCTGGCTGCACCCCAGGGACCAGTTCCCCAGGCCTGGGAGGCAGCCCAGGCTCCTGCATTTTTAACCAGCACCCCAGGTGCTCAGCTCGGCTTGTGCACCTTCTGCATGCCCTGCCTTCGGTGCTTGATGTGTTGTTGGCCTCCCAGCATGGGCCTGGCATCACACACAAATGCCATCTGGCTGGCTCAGCCCAGTGCCTCTGAGAGGAGGCCTCGGCGCCTGCGTGTGGCTGCCAGCGGCTACGCCCTGTGCTCAGGAAGTCAAGGCCACCTGACTCCTGGCCCCCCAGCATCCTGTTGGGGCTTCAGGGGGGACCTGCTTTTACTCGCATAGCACGTCTCCGTGATTTTTCCCCCAGAGAAGAGGAGCACAGAGGTAGAATGGGGGCTCCAGCGGCTCTTTGGCCTCTTCCTTCCAGGTTTGCTCTTAGGGAGGGTCAGGGGCTCAGCCCTGTTCGTTCTGTGGAGAGTCAGGATTCTGTACATTTCGGGCTCCATGTGCCCGCCTGCCTCCTGCCCTGCTCCGGGCAGGATTCTGGAAGAACAGTGCCAGGGATGGGTGCCTAAGGACCATGCCAAGGCCTCTCTGCCTGCCGCTCCAGTGGTCTCTTCTGGAATTTCACAGGTTCCATTGACCATTCATAGTCCCCGCCCATCCCTGACCACCACTCAGGTGTCTGGAGCCAGCTCTGGTCTTCATGCAAGGCCTGTGTTGAAGGCCTGCGATGCTGGTTGAGGGAGCGTGTGGTTAGAGTTTTCCATGGAAATGGAGGGAGGTAACGTTGGGTAGAACCCTAATTCTGTAGCTTTAAGTAAATGATTGGACCTAAGAACAACTTCTTCGTATGTAAAGTGGTAAAAGCCCTTCTTGCCTCGTAGGGTTATTATGCAAATGAATTAAAACAATGCCATAGGTTTCCTAGCACAGCACTTGGTATGTTGTGGCTGATGATATGAGCTATTGGATTATATGGGGAGCTCACATCTCCCCACACATCACAGGGAAATGCTTCCAGAAGGTTCTTGTGTGTCCACCTCCACGGGCACATGCCTGTGATTCCTCTTTCAGGGACACGTTCCTCGGGGCTCCCCCTCATGCCTTCTCTCCCTTCAGGTTAAAGTTGAACAGTAAGAGGAACCAGCTGGTGAGAGAACTGGAGGAAGCCACCCGGCAGGTGGCAGCTCTGTATTCCCAGCTGAAAAGGTGAGCGGTGGGCAGTGAGGACCGTGCTGTCCGGGGGCTGGCCAGGTGCAGGCATCCCTATCGCACGACACGGAGCACAGACCTCACTCAGGCCTGGGCCTTGGTAGGCAACTGGGTGTTGCTGGAATTCCACAGAATTTGTTTTTCTCAGATATATATATATATATATATGGAAGGGAGAGTGAAAGATATAGATAGAAACATCACTGATAAGAGAAAATCATTGATCCACTGCCTCCTACCAGGCTCTCAGATATTTCAACCGTAGCCTTCTATTTGTTACTAGAGGCTCAGTGCATGAAATCGTGCACGGGGGTTGGGGGGGGGGGTCCCTCAGTCCAGCCTGCACCCTCTCACAGTCTGGGAGCCCTTGGGGGATGTCCGACTGAAGGCCTAGGCCCTCTCCCAGCTGTCAGTCAGACATCCTTACTGCTGCCGCAGAGGCCTGAGAGGTTCCCACCACCACCACTGCGCTCACCAGTTATCAGCCTGACTTCTGGTGCAACCACCACCAGGGGGCAGCTCCTGCGTTGAGTGGGATCAGGCCAAAACCAGCTCTCTGACATCCCCTAAGGGGTACAGGCCAGGCAGAGAGACTCCACTGGTGCACAATCAGAGTCGGGGAGGGACAAGGGAGGGCATGTCCAGCCTATTTCCCTCAATCCCACTCAGCCAGAGTCCAGGAGCAAGCTAACCTACCGGTCAGAGTCTGCATGTCATCGTGAGCGGTTGAGCAGCCTTAGCATATCATTAGCATATTATGCTTTGATTGGTTGCACCGACAACTGGACGACCAGACACTTAGCATATTAGGCTTTTATTGTATAGAATAAATGATACTGCATTTCCATTATCCTTAGGATATAAAGTTTCCTTTTAATATATATATATAAAATATATATAACAAACTGAGTTGATGTGAATTAACATATTATTTTGGGCTAGATTCAAATATGGGAAAATACCATGAAAATGGAAAGCAGCCAGTGGAGGTTTGGGGAACAGAGATACAGGGGGGGAAATGAGCTTTGAGGCAGTTGGCTTGGGTTCGAATCCCAGCAATGCCGGTTTCTGATTGTGTTGCCTTCTCGGGTACCGGTTTCCTCTAGTGAAACGGGGTGCGTTAAACCACACCCTGGAGACTGTCAAAAAGAGGGTCCAGCGAGATCATGCCCTCTAAGTGCTGAGGTCCCGGCTGACCCAGCCACTCTGTGTGTCCTCACCCTCCGTCCTCTCCCTGCCCCCAGCCTCTCGAGCAGCATGCAGTCCCTGTCCTCGGGCAGCAGCCCTGGCTCCCTCACGTCCAGCCGGGGCTCCCTGGCCGCCTCCAGCCTGGACTCCTCCGCCTCCGCCAGCTTCACCGACCTCTACTACGACCCCTTCGAGCAGCTGGACTCGGAACTGCAGAGCAAGGTGGAGTTCCTGCTCCTGGAGGGGGCCACGGGCTTCCGGCCCTCGGGCTACATCACCACCATCCACGAGGACGAGGTGGCCAAGACCCAGAGGGCCGAGGGGGGCGGCCGCCTGCAGGCCCTGCGCTCCCTGGCCGGCACCCCGAAGTCCATGACTTCTCTGTCTCCACGGTCCTCCCTGTCCTCCCCGTCCCCGCCCTGCTCCCCGCTCATCGATGACCCCCTCCTGGCTGGAGACGCCTTTCTGAGCCCCCTGGAGTTTGAAGATCCCGAGCTGAGTGCCACTCTCTGCGAACTGAGCCTTGGCAGTGGCAGCCGGGAGAGGTACCAGCTGGAGGGACCCGGAATGGAGAGCAAGCAGTTGGGCCAAGGTAGAGAACACAACCACCGCGGGAGGGTGGGAGTCTCAGGGAGGGAGGGAGGGGGGGGGAACTGTGCCCAGGCCTGGGCATGGACCGCAATGATAATTATGATCATGATCATACCATAGGGTTAATCGATTTATTTACTCATGCAGTAGGTAGGTAGTGTACTTACCATGTCCTACTTCTTGGGCTAAGGGTTTTCCGGTGGTGGCTTCATTCATTCAGCAGGTCATTATTATTAAGTAGATGCTGAAATGAAATGCCAGTCCCGGGCGAATGGATGCCCATGGTTCCTCCGTTCATGCAGCAGAGGTGCCATGCGCCAGGCACTGGGTTAGTCACAGGACAAACGGGCCCCTGCTCCCATGAAGCGTCTGGGCAAACAAAGGCCCAGGCAGTTACTGTACAGCCAGGCCCATAAAAGCAACAGGAAGCAATGAAACTAGCGGATGTGATGGAGGCTTTCAGGTTGGGCTGTGAAGGAAGGTGGCCTTGAACCGGGGCTTCACCCGGGGGAACAAGCCAGCCTTGGGGAAAAAGCAAGAGCAAGTGTCTGAGGCCGGAGCCAGGGGACTGCGGGAGGGGACAGGGTCACCAGCAGGCCTGGAGAAGGGGGGCAGTTTGGTGCCGGAAGGCCTGGGGGTCTGTGGGAAGGAGTTTGGGTCTTCTCACTGCAGTGGGGACTCATGGGAGCACTGGTAGCCAGGAAATGGGATCTGACTCCTGCTCTGCATGGGGTTGGAATGATCATGCCGGTGCGGACTGAGGTTCACGTTGGAATCGCCCATGCAGAAGGCAGTGCTGAGGATGGCAGCGAAGACTTATTGAGAAAAAGCCCAGTCACATATCATAACAGCTAACATTTATTGGGGTGCACCAAAGGTGGGCGATGTGATTTATAGGGTGCAGTAGGTTACTTGTATTGTGCCCACTTCACAGATGAGAAGACAGCAATTTAGACAGGTGACATCACTTGCTGTAGTGCCCCTCACACACACACACACACACACACACACACACACACACACACACACAAATGGGAAAGCAAGGATCGGCATCTGGGTGTTTCTCTGACCCAGGAACCCAGTGTCTTTGTGGTCACTCTCCTCTCTGCAAGCAAAGTAGCCCAGGTGTTTGTTCCTGGGACACTCCTGGGATCTCTGGCCCCACTGTGCCCACCTGGCCTGGGTGTGAAGGTCAGGGCCGAGCAGGTGCTCAGTCAGCCCACCTCCAGCTCTGGCCTCTCCTGGCCATGACTTACAAGGTGCAGGTGTACAAGACACTGTGATGCATTTGTGCTCACTTAAGCCTCACAGCAACTGTGAGGTGGGTGCAGCTTTATCCCCACAAAACAGAAGGCAGAAGTGAGGCCCGGTGAGGTTACATGACTTGTCCAAGGTCAGTGTCACAGCTGGGAAGCAGACGTGTCAGGATGGGTGCCAGGCTGGCCCAGAACCCACGTGAAGGCCGGTGCCAGCTCTGTCTGCCTCCGGTGCCTGCTCCTGCCTCTTCGAGTGGCCAACTAGGAGCCGGACCCATCTGAGCAGTGAGGCTGCAGGCCTGGGCAGGAGGGCCATGCGGTGCCCAGAATTATCCCTCTATGTGCAAGGCCCGTGGCTGCAAAGGGAGACCAGATTCCCTGGTTAATTAGAGGCTCTGCCGCATGAGTTTCCTTAGACAAGGAGCCGAGAGACCCCGGGGCTCCCTCAGCAGGAAGGGAGTCATAAATAAAACAGAAATAAAAACAGGCTCCCTCCTACAGCAGGTGGCGGCTTCACACAGTTGGTCCCGGGAGAGGAGGTGCAGGTGGAACCTCTAACAACACTCAACCCCAGCCGGGTGCCAGGAGCGACCCCCCTCCCCTCCCCCACAGCCTCCTTCGGGCCGTGGGCCGGAGACAGCCCCTCTTAGGATGGTGTTTCCGTCATGCTTCCTCCAGAACCCCCCCACAGTGATCGATGCCAGGCTGAGCCAGACGCTAAGCAGGTTAAGGGATTAGGGCTGCCGTTCAGGCAGCAGACAAATTAATCTCTGTAAGTGGTTTAGCGGATGGAGGGGAGGTGGGGGTCTGGAGGCAGGAAGTCTGCCGGCTGTGGGCCCAGGCTGGGAACGCCACCCCAGGTGGCTGCTTGCACCTCCCAGCTTCCCGCCACATCCCTTTCCCCAGCCTGCTCACCCCCAGTCTCCGGTCTGCCCCCACCCCACCCCTGGACATGTTTGAGGGTCCCCATTAAGGCCAGGGAGCTGAGCTGAGATAGGGTTGGAATGGGGCAGGCCACGTGGGAGAGCCAGTGCTTCCACCCTCCCCGCTCATCGCTTGCCCTTCCTGAGGGTAGGGATTCACCTGGAAGGCATGGGGGTGTCACCGCAGGAAGTACCGTGGTAATGGGTTTTGTAGAGCAATTTCCCCACCCAGTCTCTATGCTGCAAACGTCCCTATAATGTCAAGGTGAGTCTGCCCAACAGCCCCACAAGCTGAGTATTCTCCCCATTTTACAGATGAGGAATTGGGGCTTACAGATATTACATCTGTGTCCGTGTGTGTGTGTGTGTGTGTGTGTGTATGTGTGTGTATTTATTTTTTTTACTTCAGAGAACAAGGGAGGGAAGGAGGGAAAGAGAGAGAGAGAGAGAGAGAGAGAGAGAGAGAGAGAGAGAGAGAGAGAGAGAGAGAGAGAAAGAGAAATATCAATGATGAGAGATAATCACTGATTGGCTGTCTCCTGCACTCCCCCTACTGGGGAGTGAGCCTGCAACCCAGACATGTGACCTGACCAGGAACCAAAATGCGACCTCCTGGTTCATAGGTCAGTGCTCGATATCGTGAAGCAGTAAGTGGTGGAGCTGAGAGCCGTTTCACCCAGACGTCAAACCCAGAATCGGATGCTGCCCTTTCTTCACCCCAAAGCAAGGCAGCTCCTGGCTGTCGCATTCATAGGTGGCTGGAATCTGTCAGGGCCCTCTTAGGACAGAGGCTGGATGGATCGGAAGTGTGTGTGGCAGACAGTGCCCTGGTTCTGAGCCCCACCTTGCCACCCCTTTCCCACCTCTTCCTCCAGCTGTGAATCCGGCCCCGGGGTGTGGCCTCAAAGTGGCCTGCGTCTCTGCTGCCGTGTCAGATGAATCCGTGGCCGGGGACAGTGGCGTGTACGAGGCTTCCGTGCAGAGGTGGGTACTGAGTCCTGGGTCTCTGGGCACTGTGGTTCCGCAGACTCTGGGACCCCGAGATGTGTGGGAGGGACATGCCCCGGTGACCTCACCTTACCACCAGCAGCCAAAGATGCAGGCCGGGCAGCTCCTCCCAGGGCTGGGGCGCTTCCAATCTGGGAGAGCGCTGGTTTCATGGTCGCCATTAAGGGACGAAAGCCTAGGGGAGCACGTAGGAGAGAAAGGGGAGCCCCTTCAAGAGAGACCCGGAGCGATGGTGGGAAGGCAGGGTCTGCCGGGGGGCTGAGCAGACCTGCCAGCCTTTTCTCCACGAGGAGCGACCACACCTTCCCAGACAGAGCCCCGGTCACTGCGAGGGATTCTCACGCCTCTCTTCCCGCCTGCCTTCCAGGCTCGGTGCGGTGGAAGCCCCTGCTTTCGACGGCGAGGAGCCAGAAGCCGCGGGAGCGACACGGGTTCAGGTTGCCCTGCAGTGAGTAACGGGGAGGCAGACCGAGGATCGGCACAGGCTTCCTCCTCCTGGGCAGCTTCTTCCCAGCCTGCTGCCCAGGAGGAAGGCAGAGCAGCAGGACCTGCTGGCAGTGTGGCCTCCTCTTTAAAGGGGAACGCCTTTTCCCTGCTTCCCAGCACCCAGTTCACAGGAGAAAAAGGGGGCTGTGAAGGCCTTGTCACGCGCCCCGACTCACTGTGCGGGCCACAGCGCCCGTTCCTGAGCCCTCCCGCCTCTCGTTGCTGTGGCTTTTGTCGCAGCATCTCAGCCAGGTCTCAGCCATCCGGACCGACGTCACCCCTGGGGGCTGCAACCCAGATGGGTGGTTCTAGTTTGCTCTTGATGGGGGATGGCCTCCATTTTCTAATGTTTTTTTTTTTTTTTTAAGTTTGCCATGTTCACCAATTTTTTTTTCAAATGGTTTTCGAGAGAGGAAGGAAGAGAGAAACATTGATGTGAGAGAGAAACGTTAATCAGTTGCCTCCCGAATGTGGCCCAACCAGGGATCGAGCCCACAACCTGGGAATGTGCCCTGACCAGGAATCGGACCCACCACTGTTTGGTGTATGGGATGGCACTCGAACCAACTGAGCCGCACTGGCCAGGGCCTCAATATCTTTTTAGCAGATTTTTTTTAAATTGATTTTTTAGAGAGAGAGGAAGGGAGAGGGAGAGATAGAAACATCAATGTGAGAGCAAAACATGGAGCAATCCCCTGCCCCCCTGGTACCTCCTACAGGGGATCGAGCCTGCAACTCAGCCATGTGCCCTGAATGAGCATCAAACTGGCAGCCTTTCTCTGCAGGGTGTCAACACCCAGCCAACTGAGCTACACTCGCCAGGGCCTTGGTATATTTTTTTTTTATAAGAATTAATTGCCAATATTTAAATATCAGGAAACTTCATACAAACTTCTGACTTCCCTTTAAAGTTCAGACTGGTAGCTCCTGCAGAGCAGTGAAGCGCTGGCCTGTGCTGTCTGACTCCCCACAGTCTCCAGAGCTGCCGGCAGCCACGTCTGTGATTACTAAGAGAGGGACAGCCCAACCAGCCGGGCTCAGTGGTTGAGCATTGACCTATGATCCCATGAGGTCATGGTTCAATTCCCAGTCAGGACACATGCCCGGGTTGCGGACTCCATCTCCAGTGTGGTGCGTGCAGGAGACAGGCGATCAATGTTTCTCTCTCATCATTGATGTTTCTATCTCTCTCCCCCTCTCCCTTCTTCTCTGAAATCAATAAAAATATATTTAAAGAAAAGAAAGAGAGAGAGAGAGAGAGAGAGAGAGAGAGAGAGAGAGGGAGAGAGGGAGAGAGGGGGAGAGAGAGAGACAAATAGGTGCCCCATGCGCCCCTTTTCCTTGCAGGTATGACGAGAAGAGTAAGCAGTTTGCAATATTGATCGTCCAGCTGAGTAACCTCTCTGCTCTGCTGCTGCAGCAGGACCGGAAAGTGTGAGTATCTAGCTGCCAGGGCAGAGTGTGTGTCATCCTCTCCGCAGCCATCCCTGGGTCCCTCTCCTGCTCGGACCGCGGCCTCCGTAAACCCACTGCAGGCATTTCATGCCTGTGGCCATGATGTGAGGGGTCAGACAGGGAATGTGGACACAGGCATGGGGGCAAGCACGCCGGCTCTCCCGAGAAGCACTCTGGACCCTTCAGTTCCTTCACACGGACGCCCTGAGCACCTACCAGGTGCCAACACGAAGAACGGGCCAGTGAGCACATCCCCGCCCCTGTGAACTTGGCGCCTGGTGAAGAGGAAGGTCATGGCCCCTTCTGTCTGCTCTGAGCTCAGGCGCTCCCCGCAGAGAACCAGGCGTGCCGTTCTCCAGCGTCAGTGCCACCCTGTGCTTCTGTCGGGAAGGGTTTCCTTGAAATTGATCACCCGGCAAATACTTGCCCTCAGCCTGTTAGCTCCTCTCGTCGCAGAAGGTTTATGTTTCATTGAGCTCGTCTGTCCTCCTCTCACTACACCCTAAGCCTGGACGGCAGCAGCAGGCGCTCATGTTCCTGTGGTCTGCACCCAGCCAGCCACCGGGAAGGAGGGAGGCAGGAGGAGAGCCGGCCACGCAGAAGGAAGATGGGATGGCACACGGGGGTGGTTTTCTGTCTCATGCTCACCACGCAGCCCCGGGATGGGGGCCCTTCTGCACAGCTCATTGGTCCTCCCACAGCGGTATCTGGGCTCGAGAGCCTAAAAGCGAGCTGTCTGGGTCCAAGGGTAAATGCATCTGTGATTTTGCTCAGACAGCACGTTCCCCTCCGCGGGGGTTGTCACACTTTGCCTTCCTGCCAGCCGATGTAGGAGGGCCCCTCATGGTAAAAGCAGCCTCGGTCCTGCACGTGGACCTGTGCACGCTGCTGGCGCAGGCTCCCCTGCATTGAGGGACTAAGGACTTAGGGGATTCAGGGAAAGGAATGTTATCCTTAGGGGCCCTCTTTATCCTTCACACACCCCTGCAAGACAACCTGAGAAATGATGGCCGTTTACTTCGGCATTTGCAGCCCGCGGTTAACCCGCCACGTCAGGCCCAGACCTGGGCTGACCCGGCTCTCCTGCGTCTCTGTCTCCCTCTAGGAACATCCGCGTGGCCGTCCTCCCCTGCTCCGAAAGCACCACCTGCCTGTTCCGGACGCGGCCCCTGGACGCCTCGGACGCCCTCGTGTTCAATGAGGTGTTCTGGGTGTCCATGTCCTACCCAGCCCTTCACCAGAAGACCTTAAGAGTGGACGTCTGTACCACTGACCAGAGCCATCCCGAGGACTGCCTGGTGAGGGCTGTGTCTGTCTGTCCGTCTGTCCTCTGGGGAGTGGTGCACCGTGTTCTTCGGGGAGAAGGTCTGGAGGAAAGGCTGCGGGCTCAGCTGGGCTTCTGGGCAGGGACCTTTCCCTGGCAGGCAGCACCCTCAGACTTCTTGGGGGTGGGGAAGCTCCTTTCACAGGAGGAGGAGCGACAGACCCGAAAGCATTCTTTAAGTTGCCAGGACCTCGAAGATGACTAGCCACGTGCCATGCTTTACCGTGCGGCACGACAGGAGAACAAACGTACAGGGGCTCAGATCCCCCCTTCACTACTCGAAGTGTAGCTGGGTGACCCTGGGCAAGTTACTTAACCTTTCTGATCCTGGTTTCTCACCCATAAAATGCAAATAGTAATGCCTGCCTCATGCCCACTAGAAGAGTCAATAGAAGGATTGAAAGAGAGAGTTCTTTTTTCTTTTCTTTTTTAAATATATTTTATTGATTTTGTACAGAGAGGAAGAGAGAGAGATAGAGAGCTAGAAACATCGATGAGAGAGAGTCATCGATCAGCCGCCTCTTGCACACCCCCCACTGGGGATATGCCCGCAACCAAGGTACATGCCCTTGACCGGAATCGAACCCGGGACCCCTCAGTCCCCAAGCCGACGCTCTATCCATTGAGCCAAACCGGTCTCGGCTGAAAGAGAGAGTTCTTGTAAAGCACTTACTGAAGTGTCTGGCACACAGTAGGTTCTCCTTGGATGGCACACAGGAGGCTCTTGGATGGGGCCACTGCTAGTCCACTTCCTGGAGCAGAGCCCCTCCAACTTCCTCCTCTTCCTCCCTCTTCTCCTTCTCCCCCGCCCTCCTTCTCCTCCTTCTTCCCTCCTCCTCGTCCTCCCCCTCCTTTTTCTCTTCCTGCTCCTCCTCTTTCTCCTCTTCCTCCTCTCCTTCCCCCCATTGGCAGAAGTCAGGATCAGAGATGAAGTAGCCCCGGATACGTTTGTGTCCCAAGAAAGCCATTCCCTAGAGCCAGGCTGACCCAAGGACAGATAGACGTTGCTCAGTTTTCTCATCTGTAAAATGGGGCTTTGAAGCTAACTCGGGGGCTGCTGTAATGCACAAATGAGTTAAAACAAGTGACAGGCTTTGTGAACCCTGTGCCATTAGGAGTGCAGAGCATTTGAGTAACAACTCAGTGTGAGCACAATGGAGCCCAGACGTGGGCTTTATAGCTAGAGGGTAGTTCCACCCACTGCCATCTTCCTGGGAAGCTGTTGGCTGCTGGGGATGCAGTGAGAACCAGACGGACAGGAGCCAGCTTGGGTGGCTAGCAGTAAACCAGTGAGGAGAAATGCACTGTGATGAGGACCGTATGAGAGGTGATGGACTGAGGTAGCAAGCAGAGGACATGGGCAGGACAAAGGGGAAACATGGGTGTGTCCTCCTCTCTCATCCTAAGGACTTGAGGAGTGGCAGATGGCAGGCCTGCTCCTGGGCAGCTGGCTTCCTGCCCACCCTGGGAAGCCTCCTTGCTCTCATCCCTGACCCTGACGTGCTTGTGCTGTGAAACCCTGGACTGCCCGGGGACCTGGGGGCCGCAGCTTTGGAAAGTTGGCCCTGAGGCTGTCCCCAGCCCTGAGCTTCCCCGTGCAGCGCCGAGTTCCCTATGACAGACAGTTCATCTCTCAGTCTCGGCTTCCTTATTTGACAGGTGGCTCTCTGGGGGTCAAATGAGGTGCTAAAGCCGTGCTCCCCAAACTGGTGAGACGCACGCACGGCTTACCCGGGGCTCTGGTTAGAATGCAGAGTCTGCTTCAGCAAGTCTGCAATGGGGTCCGGGGTTCTGCTTTTTTTTTTTCCAATTCTTTTTAAAAAAATATATTTTATTGACTTTTTTACAGAGAGGAAGAGAGAGGGATAGAGAGCTAGAAACATCAATGAGAGAGAAACATCCATCAGCTGCCTCCTGCACACACCCCCACTGGGGATGTGCCTGCAACCAAGGTACATGCCCTTAACGAGAATCGAACCTGGGACCTTTCAGTCCGCAGGCCGACGCTCTATCCACTGAGCCAAACCAGTTTCGGCGGTTCTGCATTTTTGACACGCCCCCCAGGAGATGCTGGCACTGCTGGTGCCTACAGCAAGGATGCAGAGCGGTGAAGCGTCTGCCCTGGATGCTGGTTCCTGCCCCTTCTCAGCTGGGTACCTAACTGCACCTGCCGTTGTCATCATTCCACACAGTTCTGCAATAGCTAGCATTTATGTGGTGGGCTAAGTTCCTGACATGTATTCTCTCTATTGATTCTCTTATAAAATAGGTTCTGTTATACCAGTGAGGAGACTGAGGCACAACAAGGAGAAAGGACTTGCTCAAGGTCACACAGTCAGGAGGCGGCAGGTGCAGAGTTAGAACCCAGGCAGGTCCGACTCTGCAGCTCCCCCAGGTCAGCCCCTCGGGGTGTCTTTAGCCCCGGCACCACGCTCCCCGGAGCTCACAGGTGGGGACGGTGACCGGAGGGTGTGGCAGGCGTGGAGGATGCTAAATGACAGCAGAGCTTTTCCAAAACTGCCCCCCTCTTCCCCCCAGCCTAGCGTTCCCGCAGCCCTGGCCATGCCTAGATGAGCAGAAACGCAGTCCTGTTTTCTTCTCCTAATTGGACGCCTTTTATTCCTCCTCCCTAATTGATGTCTGGCCAGTGCTGGTTGCCATGGCAGCAGCCAAGCACTCATCCCACCGTGGCCTGTCTCGCTCCTCGGCCAATGAGAGCCCTGTTTCTCCGTGTGCTGTGGGGAGATGGAGTGTCAGGCTGTCGCGTTTTGGTGGCTGGAGGAGGCGAGGAAGCGAGACACAGGGGGAGCGGGCTGTCTGCTTTCCCGCAGAGGCCCCCGCACGGCTGCATGGGCAGAGTCGGAGCCATCTCACCTGCCAGGCCATGGCAGTGCCCATCCTGAGTGTGTCAGTGTGTCTAGCACTGGGCTAAGAACTGCGTGTGCAATGCCTCACTTCATCCTCACGGCAGCCCTGGGAGGGAGTGTCAGGATTACCGCTGTTTGACAGATAAGGGATCACGGCTAAGTAACTTCCCCGGACCATGCAGTGAGTGTGGGTGTGAACACAGACCCGACATCTACTTCTCACAGGGTCACTGTGCGGGTCTCATGTCCCCAGACCCAGCTTAGGGGTTTGGAGGAGTGTGTGGCCTGCCTTCCCCAATATCGCAGGCCACAGCCCTAACAGATGCTATCGTGTGGCATCACGGGTCTCAGGATGTCCAGTGGGGCCCTGGTCGCCACTCCCGACCACTGAGCTCAGCGCAGTGGCTTCCCGCCTTTCTCACCTTGCCCGGGTGGCACAGTCCCAGGCCTGCCGAAGTGTTCTCTCTCCACCTGCACAACCGGAGCAGCACACGGCTGTGCTGGGCGGCGTCACGTTAACATCGCATCTTGAGGCTCCCATGAGCCCTGATGCTGCTCAGTACTATTCTCGTCTCCGCAGACTCTTGGTTCCAATAATTACAGGCTGTTGCTGTTCCTTGTGGCGAAGCCCCTCCCCCAGAGGTCAGCAAACTCATTAGTCAGCAGAGCAGCAAACTGTGGCTCGGGAACCATATGTGGCTCGCAAGCCACTGTTTGCTGACCACTGCCACAGACAGTTCTCTCCCTGCTCCTCCCAGTGCTGAGTTCTTGCCCTCTCTCCTCCAGCCTCCAGCAGCTCTGTCCCCGCCCTCCGCCCAGGCCCTGGCTTCACTCATTGAGAGGTCAAGAAGGATCCGCAACTCCCACCCCCTTTGGCTGGTCTCATGGGTCCTGCCATTTCTCCTGGTTCTGAGGATGGGCGCTCCCCACCCCATTCTCCCTCAGGGACAGCACACCCACTGGGATTCTGCTCTCGCCTGTCTTCCGGTCTGCCGCCTCCACTGCATCTGGCCGGTCAATGAAGCAGCATGCTATTATTTCTCCTATGCTTCACAAAACCTTTTTTTTTTTCACCCCATTTCTGCCTGCTCCTGTTATCTTGGCCTTCAGCCCCAAGGCTTGCTCCAGCCTTCCCGTGCCCTTGAATACTCCTACAAGCTCTCCGCTCCAGGCCTTTGCACTTGCTATCTCTTCTCCGAAATATTGATGGACGAGGCTCACTCCCTTGCCTCACTCTGGGCTTGACCCACGTGCCACTCACCTCAGTGAGGTCTTTATTTTTTTAATATATTTTTATTAATTTCAGAGAGGAAGGTGAGAGGGAGAAAGATGGATAGAAACATCAGTGATGAAAATCATTGATTGGCTGCCTCCTTCACGCCCCCTACTGGATCGAGCTTGCAATCCAGGCATGTGCCCTTGACCAGAATCGAACCTGGGACCCTTCAGTCCGCAGGCTAATGCTCTATCCACTGAGCCAAACCAGCTAGGGCTCAGTGAGGTCTTTTTGCCACGCTCCACTCTTAGCCCCTCCTATCCTCTCCCCCTGTATTATTCTCCCCGCAAATTTTCATCACCTGACATTTGTCTATAGCACAGATTTTAGGGTACGTGTCATTTTCACATTTTATCATCTCTGAAGGCAAGATGTAATTTATACTAGATGGTGGTTTCTCTCTCTGTGAGGTTATATTCCGTTAATTTGTTGTAGTTCGTTTTATTCTTAGGGGACCCCTTTACATGATTCAAAGAAAATTTATTTAGAAGGGTTTACTGTAGAGAAATCCTCCTCTCCATCCTGTCCACCCCAGTCCCACCACCTACTATATAGGTAACCACATGCACTGGCTTCTTTTCTCTCTCTCCATTACTTCTCGCTGTCCATAGGATCATGTGATCATGTCCACTCCCCTTTGCACCTCAGATATTTCTTACAGGCAATGTGGCACACTATATATTCTGTTCTGCCTTATCCTGTTTTTCCCTCTAACAATCTAGCCTGGGGATCTCTCCATTTCAGTACCTACAGATAAACATTTAATAAACTTTTGGCAAATGAGTGAACCAGTGAATGGATGATTAGTGAATGCGTGATTGTTGGAAGTGATTAACAACTGACCCTCTGTTCCGGAAGCTTCTGTCCCACCTGGAGTGATGTTTTCCTTACAGGAACCAAGTTCCCTACATCTCCTTGTCAGCCCTTCTCCTAACTCTCCCTTTTCCCTTTGCACAGGGAGGCGCCCAGATCAGCCTGGCTGAGGTGTGCCGGTCTGGGGAGAGGTCGACTCGCTGGTACAACCTCCTGAGCTACAAATACTTGAAGCAACAGAGCAGGGAGCCCAAGCCAGGGGCAGCCCGGGCCCCCACCCCCGGGCCTGAGAGCACGGTGAGCCTGGGGGGGGGGGGCCCTCTGGTATGTGCAGCCCTGGAGACAGTGGCCTCTCCCAGGAGGGGGAAGCAGGGGGAGGGGACAGGGTGGGAGAGACCTCCCAACCTGCAGCTTTCTCTTTCTTCCTTCCTGATGGTGCCCTCCCCATCTGTGCTTTCCTTACCCTGACACAACTTGTGTGATGAAAACCTCCATTAGTGGCATTTTAAAAATGAATTGGGGAAGAAAAGAAAAAACTAGAAGGTACAAAATTAGCCTTTATTGAGACCCTACTATGTGCCTGGAGGGAAACCATGGGAAGAATAGCCAGGAGACCTGGGTGAGGAGTTTCCCTCTCTCTCTCTCTCTCTCTCTCTCTCTCTCTCTCTCTCTCTCTCTCTCTCTCTCTCTCTCTCTCTCTCTCAGTATATTTTTATTGATTATAGAGAGGAAGGGAAACGGGGAGAGGACAGAAACATCCATGATGAGAGAGAACCATTGATGAGCTGCCTCCTGCACACCCCACATGGGGGATCAAGCCCGCAACCCAGGCACGTGTCCTGACTGGGGAATTGAACCTGACCTCCTGGTTCATAGGTTGACGCTCAACCACTGAGTCACACTGGCTGAGCTAGAGTCTGGGGCTTTCTTAGTTGGGTGATGTTCTTAGTTGGGTGATGGTTATCAGTCATTTCACCTGTCAGCTTCTACACATGTGATCTGGGTCGGAAAAGGCTGTTAGGAAGCTTTGAAGAAGTACCTGTAAAGAGCGCTTGATCCATGATGTCTGTTTTGTTACTACTTTTTCCTGAAAAATCTTACATTTGCCTTTTTTTTTTTAAATTAAAAAATATGTATGTTTGCCGAAACGGGTTTGGCTCAGTGGATAGAGCATCCGCCTGTGGACTGAAGTGACCCGGGTTCAATTTCGGTCAAGGGCATGTACCTTGGTTGTGGGCACATCCCCGGTAGGGGGTGTGCAGGAGGCAGCTGGTCAATGTTTCTCTCTCATCGACGTTTCTAGCTCTCTATCCCTCTCTCTTCCTCTCTGTAAAAAATCAATAAAATCTATTTTTTAAAAATATGTATGTTCATTTTAGTGCAGTACACTTTAACCTACAAACTCTTTCCTGAACTAGGAAAGCCACATCTGCTGGTCACATAGACTGGCCAGGGCTCTGTTGAGCAATGAAGTTGCCCTTGAACACAGAGTGGTGCCATGTATGGGGTCCTAATAGGGTCCCCGAGAGCACGTTAGGATTCTGTAATGCTTCTCCCTTCCATCGGGAGTTGGCTCCTTTGGGCGGCCACTGCCTAGAATTCCAGTGGACGGGATGGGCTAGGTCACCCAGGTGAGGAGAAAAGTCAGAATTAAATCTATTTACCACTCCTCTTCCTCCTCATTTTTCATCATCATCATTTTCTGTACTTCCTTTTTTGTCAGGCACTGTCCTGGTTATGTACAGTTTCCCAAGAAAAGGTTACGTAAGTTCAGAAAGGTTACCTAAGGACAAACATCTAACAGGCAACAAAGCTGTATCACAAACCCCAAACATAAGCTGTCTCTCGCACTCCAAACACGTGACCCTGAGCTGGCAAAGGTCTTCACAAAAAGACCCCTCTGCTTTCTCGAGCCTTTTCTTGGATAAGTCACAGGAACCTGAGGCACATTCGTTTTTCTCTTACCCTTTCCTCAGGGGAGTCATCATCCTCTCTCCCAGCCAGGATGCTTGCAAAGGCTCAGTTAGATGCCACGTGGTAGACTGATTTTAGTTCCTCTTTCCTTCGCCAAAAGACAATCTGGCTTTGTACTACCAAGCATATCTGCAATTAACCTTGTGCCCAGAAAAGGCCAGTTTTGCTTTGCTGTTAGCAGCCACTTCCTGAGTGGCATTTATGAGCGAGGTACTCTTGTGTACCGTATGCATATAATCTTCATAACAACCCTTTATCACAGGTTGTTAGGAAACTGAGTCTGAAAGGGGTTAAATAATTCCTTTAACTCACACCAGCTTTTTCACTGTAGATACCAGTCAGTATAGCTGTTCTTCCTCCAGGAAGCCTTCCCTGCATGCACCCCCCCCCCCCCCCATGCTGACTTTGCCCTTGCTTCTCTCTTCCCAACCATCCATCCTTAATGTCTGCCATGGTCCCTATCCTATTGCCTGTAAGTGATGGCTCCTGGGATGGTCTCCCTGACATTACTGCCACCTCCTTACAACCAGAGGCCTATAATTCTGTCTCCCTCTACTGAACGAGGCTGTCTTCTAAAACTGTCCACACGCAGGGTTATTTGCAGGAGAACTCCAGGGAGAAGGGCCAAGCACTGCACTTCCAATGTACGTGACCTTGGGGGCAAGCTGTGGACCCACTTGGTGCACTGGGAGGGCCACACACAGAGAAGCTACATTCTTTTTTTTTCTTTTTTTAAATATATTTTATTGATTTTTTACAGAGAGGAAGAGAGGGATAGAGAGTTAGAAACATCGATGAGAGAGAATCATCCATCAGCTGCCTCTTGCACACCCCCTACTGGCGATGTGCCCACAACTCGGGTACATGCCCTTGACCGGAATCGAACCGGGACCTTTCAGTCCATCGGCTGACGCTCTATCCACTGAGCCAAACCGGTTTCAGCATGAGAAGCTCCAATTCTTGCCAGGAGGGGCGGCATCCACAGGGTGTCAGGGAACCAACCCATTGGCCTTTGTCTCCGCAGGACGCCGTGTCCGCTCTGCTGGAACAGACCGCGGTGGAGCTGGAGAAGAGGCAGACGGGAAGGAGCAGCACCCAGGACCTGGGAGACAGCTGGTAAGCAAGGGTGCCCTTGGGCCTCGGGCACTGATCTGGCTTGAGCATGGGCCCAGCGATGAACTCCCTGAAGGCGGGCACCACCCAGAGAAGTGTTCCCCCCAGAAAACTCTCTTCCTCGTGGGCTCTGCACAGGCAGCGAGGTGGTATGTGGTCTGGTGCTCGGTTCCAAAATCCCGTCCGGATTTGTCATTTGTGTTCTATGAAGCAGTCATGCTAGTTCACATCTCTTATTATTAATTGGTCTTGAAACGCTTACATTGACTTTGGTTTAAAAATTTTTAAGCTTTTTTTCCACTGTCCGTAGAAAATAAGTATAATTTGGAGGCTTTTCAGTAAAGAACTGCATTCGACTACAAGGAACAGAGCAGAAATAACGGCTTAAACAGACAGTTTATTTCTTTGTTATGGGAGCAGGCAATCCTGGGCTCATCTGTTAGCTGCAGGGTGCTCCTGGGAACCCAGGCCTTCTCTCACGCTGCTCCGCTGCCCTCGCTGTGGGCCCTCTGACATGGAGGCTGTTTTATAGCCCACAGTGGCTGCTGAGCCACGAGCCATCAGGCAGGAAAGAGGACGAAAGAGTGCCCTGTGCCTTTTAACCATAGAGCACTCCTGAAAGCCAGTTGGCCTATCGAAATGCAAGGGACGCTGGGAAACGAGGTCTGTTCGGTTGGGTACAAAAATCTGGGTTCTGTTACTAAGGCAGAAAGTGGGAGTGGACACGGAGGAGGCCAAGTCTGCCTCAGAAGGTGACCGTGCAGAATTAAATGTAATGAAAAGAAAACAAGAGTATTGGAGTGTAGCTAGATGCTTTGCTGGCTACGGCTTTAAGCCGGAAGTCATTCCTCCCCGTGGTACGAAGGAGGCCTGGTCAGTGTTTCAGCTGGCGTGGGGACGGAGAGCAAAGTGGAGACAGCTGTCTCATTGTGCAGCTCAGGGCCCTTTAATCCCTTGTAACCAGACAGAAAGGTCTCTCCCACCTTAAGCAACAGTGATGTAGGCAAGGGCTCAACTCTCAGCTTCATCGTTTTTTTGTGTAACCTTGGGCAAAGCATTTTTACCTTTGTTTAATTCTTACCTGAGGATATGTTGAGAGAGAAACATGCCTAGGTTGCAGGCTCGATTCCCAGTAGGGGGCGTGCAGGAGGCAGCGAATCAATGATTCTCTCTCATCATTAAGGTTTCTTTTTTTTTTTTTTTAATATATTTTATTGATTTTTTACAGAGAAGAGAAGAGAGGGATAGAGAGCTAGAAACGTCGATGAGAGAGAAACATCGACCAGCTGCCTCTTGCACACCCCCTACTGGGGATGTGCCCGCAACCAATGTACAATACATGCCCTTGACTGGAATCGAACCTGGAACCTTTCAGTCCGCAGACCAACGCTCTACCACTGAGCCAAACCGGTTTCGGCATCATCATTAAGGTTTCTGACTCTCTCTCTCCCTCTCCCTACCTCTCTGAAATCAATAAAAAACATATTAAAAAATAAACAAAACATAGCCATTATGCATGATAAACACAACACACAGGCGGCCCTCCATGCCTCTTCTCTATTTTTCTGTTTCACCCCAAATTATACATTTGCTCTCAGAAGGAGTCTGCTTTCGATCTGTTACTCCAGGACTCACACGTTTTCTGGAAAGGGCAAATCATAAGTGCCTGCTTTATGGGCCGTACGGGGTCTGCTGGTCTGCTCAGCTCGGCCGTCTCACTGTGAAAGCAGCCAGAGATGGCACGTGCGGCAGCCTCCATATTCCCGTCACCGAAACTTTGAATGTGGCCACTGACATTCGCACGTCACAGCGTTTGCACATCATGAAATAGCACCCTTCCAATTTATTTTTCATTTAAAAATATGAAAACCATTCATAGCGTGGACAGTCCAGAACAGGCTGGATCGGGCCCTCAGTCTGACCGCTCTCATAGTCTCCTTTGCTGTCCTCCATGTCAGGAAGGGCATGGCAAGGTTCCTGAATTTTTTTAATGTTCATTTGTTTATGTTAGGGTTCTCTCTAAACTGTCCCAATTCCTCTCTCAACCTCTCCCACTCCCCCTCTTCACCCTCCTTCCCAGTCCCTTCTCCTCTGTCTCCTCGCACCTCCCTGACTCCATTCTTCTCTCTCTCTCTCTCTCTCTCTCTCTCTCTCTCTCTCTCTCTCTCTCTCTCTCTCTCTCTCTCTCTCTCTCTCTCTCTCTCTCTCTCCCCCCCCCCCCCCCTCTCTCTCAGGCTGCTAGGCTGGGCTGGGATCCACACAGGCAGAAGTCTGATGCCGGAAATAGGCCTAGGACCTGCCTTCCAAAACCCTGGCGCAGGATCACTGGTTTTCCCCAAATTCCAAGCTTGCATTGAGACTTTTCACTCCATTGCCTAGCAACCGCCTTCTGTTCTCTCTCCCTTTGTGGCCCCTCTCTCCCCACCCCTGGCCATTCAGCCTTCCCGAGACACTGACTTACAAAGAGGGCTGCCGAGCCCTGGGCTGCCTTGCTGGGGAAAACCCATCTGCAGCCCCCTCCTCCGGCTGCAGGCTGCTTTGGGCCCTGGAATGTTAACTAGCCTTGTTGTCCCCCCCCTTTACCTCCCCCCTCAGCTCTGGCGTCAAGTGCCGAGGCCTCCGAGAGACCAGCCCTCTGTTCTCCTTTCCACTCCCTCCTTCAGCACCCAGGCTCAGGGTGCCATTGCCACACCGCCTCCTTTTTTGGGGGGAGGCGGGGGTTGGGGTTCTTTACTGCACATAATCAGAAGACTGGGTTTTAGTGTGGTGTTTTACTGTTTGTTTGTTTGTTTATTTTTAAAATATATTTTGTTGATTTTTTAAAAAATATATATTTTATTGATTTTTTACAGAGAGGAAGGGAGAGGGATAGAGAGCCAGAAACATTGATGAGAGAGAAACATTGACCAGTTGCCTCTTGCACACCCCCCACTGGGGATGTGCCCGCAACCAAGGTACATGACCTTGACCGGAATCGAACCTGGGACCCTTCAGTCCGCAGGCCTACGCTCTATCCACCGAGCCAAACCGGTTTCGGCTCATTGTTTTTTTAGATTCAAAAGCAAAACAAAACCCTGAAAGTATTCAACAATATAGGATAGTATAACCACAAACAAGGCCGGCATGAAAATTCTTAGGTTGACCTCCTTGGGAACGTGTGTCTAGGGCAGAAGCTAAGTCGTGGCCTTGCCCGATAGCTCTCCGAAAAGATTCTATTAGTGTTCCCGCCAGCAGTGCTTATGAGTTCCCCTAGTCTGTGGTCTGCAAACTGCGGCTCGAGAGCCACATGTGGCTCTTTGGCCCCTTGAGTGTGGCTCTTCCACAAAATACCACGGCCTGGGGCGAGTCTAATGTTGAAGAAGTGGCGTTAGAAGAAGTTTAAGTTTAAAAAATGTGACTCTCAAAAGAAATGTCAATCATTGTCCTGTTGATATTTGACTCTGTTGGCTAGTGAGTTTGCCGACCACTGCCCTAAACCTACATCCTCTCTGCCATCAGTGTAATCCAGCTGCCGTACTGAATCAAGGATATTTTAGCAGAGACTGCTAAATTGACTTCTGAGTGTAAATTGCCTGCTCTAATTCATCCCCCTACACACACACACAGGGATTAGCCTGATTTTCCTACCTTCACCAGCCCATGGGATTATCAGATTTTTTTTATTATTATTATTTTTTACAACGCCTATGGGTGAAAAGATGCCTGTTTTAATTATTTTTCTCTTTCTAGTTGAGGTGTGTGTGTGTGTGTGTGTATGTGTGTGTGTGTGTGTGTGTTTTCCTTCCTGGATGTACTTAGATCAGATTCAGTCTAAAAAAGAGATTTCTCTCATGGCTGAGCACTTAGTGGACTTGGACAAACTTGGGTGGAAAACCAGGCTTCCCCCACTTAGCAGCCGTGACCCTGGCCCAGGGCTCTCAGCTCTGGGGTCCTCGGCTTTTCAGTCCATAAAACAGAGACAGCGATCGTTGGCTGCACTGTCTCGGGGCCCTGGCGTAGCACCTGGAGCTTATTAACCCTCCTAAGTGGTGGTTCGTGTGGCGTCTGCGGAATGCTTGGGGAGGCGCCCCTGGCATGTTCCCATGTATAATGGCTCTTTTATAAGAAGACAGACAGGCTGCGGGTGTGAAGGAGGGAGGGCTCGGTCCCCATCTAAGGGCAGAGGAGGTTTTCATCGCGGGGCTGGGGGCAGAGATCCCGGATCTGTTCTCCGCACCGGGAAAGTCCCGGGGGAGAGGGTATGTTTACTCACAGTCTCCCCGAGCCAGCTAACTAGATGTCAGGTTTCCTGCTTTTGGCTGGCATTCCTCCTGCTCAGTGTGGCAACTCCGTCTCATGCTGATCAGAAGCCTGGCGGTTCTGTACGTTTTTGAGGAGGAAAGATGGGAATCGAAATAAATTACTCATTAACAAATGCAGCCCATTTGTCACAGCAGCTCCTTCCGACCGTGCAGCCCCCGGGGAAAGGGGGATTTTGAAGAGCATTACCAAAAGGAAAGTCTCTTCAGCAGATGATGCGGGAATAGTCGGGTATCCAAATAGAAAACAGAAACCTCAAGCAGATGTACAGAAATTAAATTGAAATGGATCACAGGGCCGAGCATCAAATCTGAAATTATAAAACTCCTCAAAGAAAATGGAGGAGAATTTTTATTTTATTCATTTAATATTTATTTAGTTATTTATTTAGTGCAACTTTAGGGTAGGCAGAGATTTCTTAGCTAGTACATAAAAAGCACAAGCCGTTAAAAAAAAAATTGGTAAATCTGACCTTGTCGCCATCACCATCTTCTGTTCTTTGGGAGACACCCTTTTCGAAGATTAAAAAGTGAAGCAGGCCAAAACCGGTTTGGCTGAGTGGCTAGAGCGTCAGCCTGCGGACTGGGAGGTCCCAGGTTCGATTCCGGTCAAGGGCATGTACCTTGATTGCGGACATATCCCCAGTGGAGGGTGTGCAGGAGGCAACTGATATTTCTCTCTCATCGATGTTTCTAACTCTCTGTCCTTCTCCTTTCCTCTCTGTAAAAAATCAATGAAATATATATTTTTTTAAAAAGTGAAGCAGCCGATTTGGAGAAAACATTTGCAAAGGATTAACAGCCAGAATATGGAGTGAACTCTTACAACTCAATAATGACAAGACAACCCAGTTTTTAAATGGGCTAATGGATCTAACAGACGCTTTGCAAAAGGGAAATATATGGATGGTCAATAAATGCATGAAAAGGTTCTTTATGGGAGAGTGCTGATTAAAAACCACAGTGAGCTGTGGGTACACACCCAGGAGAGTGACTAAATGTAAAGGCTGACGATACCACGTCTAGACGGGGAGCTGGAATCCTCTTAGCATTGCTGGAGGGAATCTCAAGTGGCATAACCACATCGGGAAACCAGTTTGTCAGTTTCTTAAAAGGATAAACTCAAACTGACTGTGTGGCCCAGCAGTTCCACCCTCAGGTGTATAGCTGTTATGGTCTGAATTGTGTCCCTTGCAAAATTCATACATGGAAGCCCTGACCCCAGGGCCTCAGAATGTGCCTGTCTTTGGAGATGGGGCCTTTAGAACATGATGAAGTTAGCGTGAGGTTGTTAGAGTTAGGGTGGGCCCTAATGCACCATATGATTGGAATCTTTATAAGGAGAGGGCATTTGACACACAGAGAGACCCCAAGCATGCGCACATAGAGAGAAGGCCATATGGCCACGCACGCCACAGAGCGAGGCCTTGGGACACCAAACCTGGCCACACCTTGATCTTGGACTTATTTATTTATTTATTTATTTATTTATTTTGATCTTGGACTTTTAGCCTCCAGACCGGCAATGGATAAATTCCTGGTGTGTGTGTGTGTGTGTGTGTGTGTGTGTGTGTGTTTTAACTGTAGTATATATATATATATATATATATATATATATATATATATATATATATATATATATATATTTATATGTGTGTGTGTATATATATATATATATATATATATATATATATATTGATTTCAGAGAGGAAGGGCGAGAGATAGAGATATAGAAACATCAATGATGATAGAGAATCCTTGATTGGCTGCCTCCTGCACGCCCCTCACTGGGGGGATCAAGCCCACAACCCAGGCAAGTGCCCTTGGCTAGATCGAACTTGGGACCCTCTAGTCCGCAGGCCGACACTGTATCCATTGTGCTAAAATGGCTAAGGCAAATTTCTGTTATTTTAAGTCACCCCAGTGGGTGGTGGTGTTAGGGCAGCTCTGGCAAGCTAACAATATCCAAGAGAAACAGTAAGGAAACCTATATCCACGTGAATGTCCGTACTGTAGAAGCTTTATTTACAATTGCTAAGAAATGGAAGCATCCAGATGTCCTTCACCTCCAGGAGCTAAACAAATGGTGGCATATCCAACCAATCGACTGTTCCTCAGCCATAAAGAAGCATGATTTGATATAGTCGCCCGATGAGCCCAGAGACAAAAAAGAACACATACTGTCTGATTCCATTCATAGGAAATGCTAGAAAAATCAGATTTCATCAGTAGTGACAGAAAGCTGATCAGTGCTGGGCTGGGGTGGGGGGAAGTTAGCTAAGGAAGAGGATAAAGGAACCTTTCAGGGTAATGGAGTGGTCTGTGTCCTGGTAGTGATGATACAAGGGAATTACACTGGTCAAGACTCGTCTAACTGGGCACTAAAATTGATTTCCTCCCTTTTCCCCCAGAATGGGTCCTCTCTCCTGAAAGGGTTTACAGGCCGGTGAGCAGGTCAGAGTGGACTCTGGGGGAGTAATCAAAGTCCTTTGTCATCGTAGGAGGTTCGAGGAGGAGACCAGTGACAACGAGACCGCAGGGGAGGAGGGAGAGGAGGAAGCTTTTGCCGAGAAATCCTCACCAGACACAGAAGAGTGCCCCGCGGTGAAGGTAGGGAGGGCTGGGGCTCTGGGAAGGCTGACTTGGGGGAAATAGCCTTCAGTCCTTGAGCCCAGGCAATCACAGAAGGCTCAGGATCACATGCTGTCCTCCAGCATCAGGGACAGCCTTTCCCCCCACGCCCTTCCATGGAGTGACCAGCAGAGGGCGCACGGCAGCGTTCCTGCCTGTAATCTGGTTCGTTTCCTTGACAGTGAACCCAGAGAGGCTGACGCGCCCCCTCCGCTCTCCTGTCGTCTGCCTTTTCCCTGTTTCTCCGGACAGACCCCAAGCTTTGCAGTCAGATGGGTCTGGGTTCAGATTCGGGGCTCTGCTACCCCTCAGCCGCAGAATCCTGGGCAGATGGCTTCATCCCTCTCGAGCCTTCATTTCATTGTCTCTGAACTGGACACAATAATACTCCCTCGAAGACAGGTTCTGAGGTTTTGAAGGAACGTATTCCTTCGTTTGGGTCCAAGTGCAGGAGGAGAAGAGACTCCGAGGGTCAGGTTCCCTTGCCTCCTGCTTCCCTGCTGCTCTCGGGTTACAATGAGTGATAACAGCACTCACTCTCCACAGAGGTCTCCGTTCCTCCACCTGCAGGGCCCCTGGCCATAGAGCTCCCCTTGTGCTGGGCAGGGTACCCGGGGGTGGAGCTGAAGGCTGTGCATGGCACAGAGGTGCCCGGCCAAGGGGTGCCCAGAAGCATCCAGGGCTGCCTTCTGGCCCACACCCAGGGGAAGGCATTTTGAGGTTTCTCCAGACAAAGGGAGCTCCTTTTTCAAAATGACAGAGAGGTGCCGTGAAGGCCCTGCCTCTCCGTGGTGTTTGTCTGCTCACGTTTTACTGGTGATCGCTGCGAAAGGACGACAGAAAGCCTAGGCCCCTGGCCCGGCCAGTGTGGCTCGGTGGTTGAGCATCAACCCAGGAACCAAAAGGTCACAAGTTGGATTCCCAGTCAGGGCACATGCCTGGGTTGCAGGCTCCATCCCCAGTAGGGGGCTTGCAGGAGGCAGCCCATAGCTGAAGTTTCTTTCTCATCGGTATTTCTCTCTCTCTCTCTCTCTCTAAAAATCAATAAAAACACATTTAAAAACAAGTAAAAAAGAAAAGAAAACCTGGCCCTCTGGTTTAAGGAAGGAGATTTGCTGGTTGCCTCCATCATTCCAATAAAACATCAGTTGTTCTTGGCTGGGGCAGAGGTGGCCTTGGTGTGGCTTTGACAAAACGTGTGTGTCTTTGGGGCTGAGACGTGCAGGCCACGGAGCTTCAGACACCTCTGCTGTCACCGGAGCTTGTTTGGGGACCGAATATGCTCCCAGTTGTCCCGGAGGAATAGGGGCCGGCACTCGGGCCTGGGGTGCTGTCCCAGCTGTGTCTGCGGGACAAAGGCGAAGTGACAGGCGTGGGGAGCGTCCCGGGGCCGGTGGCTACAACTCCGTGGTCTCAAAGCTGTGACTTCTCCCTCAGGTGGACAAGGAGACCAACACAGAGACCCCTGCCCCGTCGCCCACGGTGGTGCGGCCCAAGGACCGGCGGGTGGGCACGCCCTCCCCAGCGCCCTTTCTCCGAGGAAGCACCATCATCCGCTCCAAGACCTTCTCCCCCGGACCCCAGAGCCAGTACGTGTGCCGGGTAAGCAAACATGGGAACCCTCACCCCCTCCCGCAGCCCCTGCTTCCTGTGGGGCAGCCTTCACCCCACAGCTCTGGGTGCACATCCTGGTGACCCTCACTCTGACCTGGCGAGTTGGCCGCGGTATAGTAGGGCTGACACCAGACTGTGGATCTTCCCTGCCGCCTACAGAGCCCATCTTATGGCTCACACGGAACCACTGTTAAGCCCACCGGGTTGTTGGAAGGATTAAATGAGATATCGGGAGTGTAGCAGGCTGCAGCGTGCATTGTGTTGAGTACATGCACCTGGAAAGGAAAGAGAGGCCGAAGGAAGCTGCCTCCTGCAGTCCTAGGGCAGTGGTCAGCAAACCGCGGCTCGCGAGCCACATGCGGCTCTTTGGCCCCTTGAGTGTACTAACGCCACTTCCTCAAAATAGACTCGCCCAGGCCGAAAACCAACTTCTCTGCGTGGGCCACGAAGTTTCAATCGCACTGTACGTGCGCGCCCACATGTGGTGTTTTGTGGAAGAGCCACACTCAAGGGGCCAAAGAGCCGCATGTGGCTCGCGAGCCACAGTTTGCCGACCCCTGTCCCAGGGAACAGAACTCTGAGTGTTTGCACCGGAGAGAGAGGGCTGGGCTGGGCTGGGCTGGGGACGCCACCCACGCCCCTGGCCCCGCGTGCTTCTCCCGAATGCATCGGACCTTCGCTGACCTCCACGGCTTTCTCCCGCAGCTGAACCGGAGTGACAGCGACAGCTCCACGCTGTCCAAGAAGCCACCTTTCGTTCGCAACTCCATGGAGCGGCGCAGCGTCCGCATGAAGCGGGTAAGCGGACCCCTCGGAGCCACCAGCGAGCCACTCCATCCTCGCCTCCCCAAGCTCAGGCCTGGGGGTCTGACCGCCCGGTGTCCGACCGTGGCTCCTCGGCCTCTGGTGTGAGCAGGTCGCTCTTGCAGCGGTGATGGTTTTTGCAGATGGAAGGGTGCGAACTGTAAGGCCTGAGTCGGCCCTGGGGAAACCTAACATTATTATCCTGAGGGATCGGTTAGGTCAGTGGTCGGCAAACTGCGGCTCTGTTGACTAATGAGTTTGCCGACCACTGACCTAGACTCTCGATTCCAATAATGACAGGCTGTTGTTGTTTTTCCTTGGGGTTAAGCCCCTAGCCAGTGGGTCGGCAAACTCATTAGTCAACAGAGCGGCAAACTGAGGCTTACAAGCCGCATGTGGCTCGAGAGCCACAGTTTGCCGACCACTGATTAGGTAGAAGGGTGCCTTCCTGGGTGGAAATCGCCAAAGATACCAGGGTCCCCAATGGGAGCCTGCCTCCCATGAGTCCCCTTGTGTGTCAGCGTGTCCAGCTGGCTGAGCGGGTGGAGGTGCTGACAGCCCTCCCAGCTGGCAGAGAAGCCAGAATCCCCAGCACCAACCCGAGGCGGGGGTGTGAGTGGCCTTCGCTCAGGGCAGCTAGAAGCACGCAGAGCAGAGGCCTCAGCTGTCACTGTAGCGAAATCTCGCCTTTCCTCATAGAGGCGTGGCTGAGGGGCCGGGCTCAGGTGGCATCGGGCCCGGGACTGACTCCTGACCCGGACTTCCACCCGCCGGAGCTGCAGGAAATGCTGGTAGCTCAGGCTTTGCAGAAGTTCCGCTGAGTCTGCAGGACGAAGAGAAACCTGCTGCCAGGGAGTCCAAAGGAGACATAGGGAGAGCAGGAGAGAGCAAGGAGTGAAAAAACATGCAGAGGAGGCTCCTCTGCGTCCCCTGCAGGTCCCCTGAGGCCGGAGTCAGGAGCTGGTCCTCTGTCCAGCGCCTCCCCTCCCGTGGATCTCCAGGAAGGATGAGAGTGAGCAGGAGAAGCAGTGCAGAGGAGGGAGCACAGGAAAGGGAGAGAGTGCTGGCTGAGGGAGAAGCTGGGCATGGCCTCCCTTGGGGGACAGGGATGGCCAGCTGCCCACTCAGCCCCCACCCCCTCCTGTCTTCTGGCAGGTTCCACAGCATCTCCCAAAGAGCCTGTTATTGATGCAGATTCCAAGGCCACACACACGGAGACACCTGGAAACTGCATTTTCAACAGGCTCCTCGGCATTCCGGATGGAAAAATGCCATTGTGTGCCCCCAAACCCCTTCCCAGGCTGGCCCCACAGAGTTCCACCTTCTTGACTTCCTTTTCCTCTCAGCCAGGGGCCTGGCTTGCTAAGGGAGCCCTTGACAGTGGTCTGAGCCCTCATTTCCCTCGGGTCCTCTAATGACGCCCAAGGGACAGGAGAGCCCAGAGGCTGAGCCTGGGCCCCCTTGCTGCCTGAACTAGGCTTCTGTCTGCTTCCCACCCAGCTGAGATTGGACATCAGCCAGAGCAGAGCCAAAGAACCTGCATTTCTTGCTTTGGGAACCTGGGCCACAGAGCTCCTCAGTGGATTTCCTGGCCCAGGACGAGCCTTACAGACCTTCTCCACTGAGCTCTGTGGTGTTCCTCAAAGTGCACTTGTGCCAGTATACGTGAGGATGGGTCTCACAGCAGCCAGTTCCGTACCATCTCTCAAACCCCTTATTGGCCATTGTATTTGTTTTCTGCTGCTGCTGCATAACCACTGACCATAAATTAACAGCTTGAAACCATACGTTCTCTCTCAGGTCCCAGAGGGCAGGAGTTCAGCGCAAGCTAGCTGGACCCTCCGCTCAGGGTCTCCTCAGGCTGACATCTGGGTACTGGCTCATCTGGAATTTTGAGTAGGGCAAGAGTCACATCCCGCCCCCTGAGGGTTCTGGCAGGATGCATTACCCTGCATTTCCTTGTTAGCTGCAGGTCTGGAGCTATTCACAACGCACAGAAGTAATTTTTAGTCCTTGCCATGTGGCTCTCTCCATACATATATTGCTTCTTTGAGGCTAGCAGATCTCCGGGAAGGGCGGTTCACCATTTAAGAGCTCACCTAATTAGGTCAGGTCCACCCAGCATGATTAAAGTCAGCTGATTAGTTACCTCACCTAATCACAAGAGTGATAGCCATTATCTTCACAGGCCCCACCCACACTGACGGGGTGGGGGGTGGGAGCATTATGTTGGGCGTGTATTGGGGGGGGGGGGGATCTTTGGGGCCAACTTAGAATTCAGCCTCTCACAGTCACTTAGCCATTCTTTTGAAGTCATCACTCGGTTTTGTTTTGTTTTTTTGTTCGTTTGTTTTTTAATATATTTTATTGATTTTTTTACAGAGAGGGAGAGAGGGATAGAAAGCTAGAAACATCGATCAGCTGCCTCCTACACACCCCCTACTGGGGATGTGCCTGCAACCAAGGTGCACGCCCTTGACCAGAATCGAACATGGGACCTTTCAGTCCTCGAGTCGACGCTCTATCCACTGAGCCAAACCAGTTTTACCCATCATTGGGTTTTGATAGAGTTAATGATTATACTAGTGTTACTCAGGATCTTATACATACAGATAACTAAAGAACTCAAATGTCGCTTGGAAATGAAAAGGGCAATGTATTGGCTCATTTCTTGGAAACTCCAGAATGTTGGATTAATCTTGGACATGGATTGATGCAGGAGTTGAAAGAATGTCCTCAAACCTCAGCATTGCTCCCTCCAGATAGCTTACTATTACTCTTTCTTTTAGTTTAATTCTTAATCAGGGCCATTCCATGTGATGGTGAAGGTGACTGTGATCAGTTCTAGGTTTATACTTGCTGGCTTAAGAATCTCTGCATTGAGTTTTACAATATTATCTCGGCTGAGATAATATACTCCACCTCTGAAGCAATCTCTGTGGTTCTGATTTGACAGGTTCTGGTCGTATTCCTATCCCTGAAGCCCCACAGGGGTTGGGCATAGAGGGGTCGTGGGTTGGGCATAAAGGGGCCGTGGGTTGGGCATAGAGGGGGCGTGGGTCCCCAAGGAAAGATGATTGGTTACCTGTGAGACTGGGTAACTTGTCTCACAGGTAACCAATGCTTCACACGCAGAAACAATAGATGCCCATTACCGGAACACCAAGTCAAGAAGCGGGGCCAGACAGACTGGCATTGAGGAAACAACTTGCAGGCAGGAGACGGAAAAGCATGCTCTGACTGAGAATGGGAATGCTGAGGACACAGAGCAGGGAGCCAGGCACCGTGTGGGGAGTGAGGGATGGGGTCTGGAGCCCACTGCCTGGGGTGGAACCTCTGCTTTACTACTCACAACATGTGACAGCCTCTGGGAGCTCATCTATGCAGTGGTAACAGTCGGGAGGGACCTCATGGGGTTTGCGCAAATAAGCTAGGGTCATGGAGTCAAGTGCCCAGGACCCAGCCCGGGACCTTGCTGGGGCTGACCAGCAGACCCTGAGTGACGACGGATGAACAGATGAGTCTGACAAACGTTTCTGTGAAAGAGAAGGCTAAGGGGCTGTTTAGCTTTAGCAACTAAAACAGCCCTGATTGCCTGCCTCATTAGCTTTTTATTGTAACAACACCTCAAACTAAAATTGGTCTCTAGATACAGTCAGCAGGGTGAGTATCCTTGAGAGAGCAATGCTTCCACAAGGTCGACGTGAGGGTTAAACATAGAGATTATTCCAGTAAAACACCCCGGGGGCTCAGACTTGTTTAGAAACTGGCTGTCGCCTTCGGCAAGGTCCCCCTAAGAGGCCCCGACCTTTCGGAGAATCCTCCTTACAGACTTTCCAACCAAGTCCCATGCTTCCCCAGGGGACATAACTGTGCTCCCTAACCATGGGCTGCAGAATGGGAGAAATCAGGCTGAGGGGGACGAGGGGGGCATTTGTGAAGGATTTCTAAGTAATCAAAGCCACTCCCACCCCCACAGCCTTCATCTTTCAAATCCCTGCGCCACGAGCGCCTGATGCGCACCTCGCTGGACCTGGAGTTGGACCTGCAGGCCACGCGGACCTGGCACAGCCAGCTGACGCAGGAGATCTCGGTGCTGAGGCAGCTCAAGGAGCAGCTGGAGCAGGCCAGGAGCCACGGGGAGAAGGACCTGCCCCCAGGGCTGCGTGAGGACGAGCGCTTCCGCCTGCTGCTGAGGATGCTAGAGAAGCAGGTGAGGGCCGCCCGCCTTGGAGGGGGGAAAGGGGGGCACGACGACGACACAGACTGGAGCTCTGAGTGGGTTGCCCAACCCCTAGACCCCCTGAGAGAGTTCCCGCCCCTGGTTCCCTTTGCCTAGTAAACGTTACCAACTCTGTTTTTTTTTTTGTGTTTGTTTTTTAATATATTTTTATTCATTTCAGAGAGGAAGGGAAAAGGGAGGAAGGGAGGGAGGGAGGGAGGGAGGGAGGGAGGGAGGGAGGGAGAGAGAGAGAGAGAGAGAGAGAGAGAGAGAGAGAGAGAAACAATAATAAGAGAGAATCATTGATCAGCTGCCTCCCGCATGCCTGTAATCTAGGCATGTGCCCTTGACTGGAATTGAACCTGGGACCCTTCAGTCCGCAGGTCGTCGCTCTATCCACTGAGCCAAACCAGCTAGGGCCTCTTTCTCTCTCTCTCTCTCTCTCTCTCTCTCTCTCTCTCTAAATTGACTGCAGAGAGGAAGGGAAAGGGAAACAGAGATAGAAACATCAATGAGAAAGAATCATTAAACGGCCGTCTCCTGCACGCCCCCTACTGGGGATCAAGCCTGCAATCCAGGCATGTGCCCTTGACTGGAATTGAACCCGGGATTTTTCAGTCCACAGGACACTGCTCTATCCACTGAGCCAAACCAGCTAGGGACATAGCCAGCTCTTGGCCTCACAAGCCACGCCCTTTCTACTGCATTTCCGTGTTGATGTGCACAAGCTCTTTTATTCATTTGTGCAAACCTTCACCAAACATTGGCACCTCATCTGGCTGGAGCACACTCCAGCAGTTCATCTAGAACAGTGACCCGCCCGGTGCCTGCCCATGCAGTCCCATCCAGCAGGGGTCACCCAAGCAGAGAGAGTGGACCAGGCAGGGCTCAGGAGTAAAATGTGGGGAACACAGCCTACTCGCTTCTCTGCCCTCCTTCGTCCTGCAGTGAATTTGAGGGAATAGCAGTGGCACGCCATGCGTTTTATCAGGGGAGCGCTGCTTTCACAAACAAGTTAGTATGCCAGAGAAGTCCCTCAGAGCACGGGACCTCCCGGAGATAGTTTGACTGGGGCCACACCTGGAGGGCAGAGGGCAAGGGAGCTCCTAGGACAGGGGGTTAGAGAGGGGGGCATCGTGATGACATCACTCAGCAGCACCACTAGGTGTCTCTGGGTCAGAGAGCTCCAAAGCTGCAGCAGTTTGGGGTCCTTGACGCCCCAGGGTGTATCTTATCTTCGGCTGGCAGATGATGGGTGGAGCTTAGCGTCACAGGGTATACAGAGCAGGCAGCTTCTAAATGGTTTAAAATTGCTTTTGTTTAAAACAACTGGGTGGGTAGAAATTTTAAGTTTGGCACTAGAGGGCTTTGAGGTAACAGGTCCCAAACTACCATGAAAAAGGAAGCAACACTGCGCCAATAGAGGCCATCTTTGACTCATTTTTATCACACCTGCCACCCTGGATTGCCAGCCAGGGCAGGGATGCCAGACCTTTGCCAGTTCTGTCCGCACGCAGCCAGGCAATGCAGCGGGCACCCGGAAGAGGGTGCCTGCCTGGACTGTTGGGCGGGCCATCAGCTGGAGTCCCAGCTTGTGGTGCAGCTGGTGATGCCTTAGAGCAGAAAAGTGGTGCCATACTTCCTGGGTCAGGACTAGGGTTGGAGCCTGGAAGCTGATGTTGATGGTTGACCTGGATCAACCCATGATTTTGTGCGTTTGGGATTCTCAGAATAAATCCACTTTTCATCACCAGTCACAGTTCGATGCAAAAAAGACCTTTTGTGCCCTTGAAGCAACATTTTACTGATGACTTTTTGGTTTTCCATTTGTCTTTCATTCAGTTGATGTGGCACCTGTTTTCCTTCCTCTAAAATCTTTCCCATTGCTTGTAAACAATCGGAAATTGTTTGCTGAGCAACGTTTAAATCTTTCTGCAAGTTGTTTTTGAGTTTGACACTCATCTTCACCCAGAAATGCTTGTAATGGTTGGTCTTCAAACTTTTTCGGTTGACCTGGACGTTCTTTGTCTTTCTCATAGAAATTATCACTTTTAAGTGTTTATTTTTTAATATATATTTTATTGATTTTGTACAGAGAGGAAGGGAGAGAGATAGAGTTAGAAACATCAATGAGAGAGAGTCATCGATCAGCTGCCTCTTGCACACCCCCTACTGGGGATATGCCCGCAACCAAGGTACATGCCCTTGACCGGAATCGAACTCGGGACCCTTCAGTCCCCAAGCCGACGCTCTATCCATTGAGCCAAACCGGCCTCGGCCACTTTTAAGTGTTTAAACCAGCGTTCACAAGTATCTTGAGATGGAGCATGTTCACCATAAGCTTTCTTTCAGCAGCACTTTTCTTCAAAATAAAGTAATGAATTACAACTTTCTGCAAATGCTCTTTTTTTGGCACGAAATCCAACATTTCTTTTAACTATTTTATTTTTATTTATTATTTTTAAAAATATATATTTTATTGATTTTTTACAGAGAGGAAGAGAGAGGGACAGATAGCCAGAAACATCGATGAGAAAGAAAATCAATAAGCTGCCTCCTGCACACCCCACACTGGGGACCCTTCAGTACGCAAGCCAACGCTCTCTCCACTTAGCTAAACCGGTTTTGGCTGAAATCCAACATTTTTAAGTGTAAAAATACCTATGATGTTAACACCTTCAGTAAATTTGACATATGAAGTTTCAAAACTTGCCATCAATACAACAAAACAGCATACATATCAAATGGCATATATATCAACATATGTGTAACTCCATCTATAAAAAAAAAAATACCGCATTATAACCAGTACACCTAGTAAAACTACTGGTCCGCCGAAACCGGTTTGGCTCAGTTGATAGAGTGTCGGTCTGCGGACTGAAAGGTCCCAGGTTCGATTCCGGTCAAGGGCATGTATGTACCTTGGTTGCGGGCACATCCCCAGTGGGGAGGCGCGCAGGAGGCAGCCGATCGATGATTCTCTCTCATCAATGTTTCCAACTCTCTATCCCTCTCTCTTCCTCTCTGTAAAAAATCAATAAAATATTATAAATAAATAAATAAATAAATAACATCATTTTTAAAAAAAAACAAACTACTGGTCCGCAGTGTGTACCATGTCTGAAGCTCCGTTTCTTGGGCTATCAGATAGAGGTTGTTATAGACCCGATCTTTCTGGTTGTCCTGAGGATTCAGTGAAGTAGCGCACATCTCACCAGAGAGCACGTCTCCTGGGGACCCACAGGGGTCCAGGTTCTGCCGCCTGATCCCCGGCCCCTGTCGCAGATGGTGGGACCACTTGGCCTCATCATTCGGGATGAAGAGGGCCCCACAGGGGAGCAGGAAGGGTGAGGGTGCCTGGGGGTGGCCCACAGACCTTTCGACTACAATGAGTCCCCCTTTGCACTAGAAGGTCCTCCGTGGCCAGCCCGTTTCTGGAGGCCCAGAGCACTCCCCACGGCCTCACAGCTTTGCCCGCTCTGCCCTGCAGATGGACCGCGCGGAGCGCAAAGGTGAGCTGCAGACGGACAAGATGATGAGGGCGGCCGCCAAGGACGTGCACAGGCTCCGAGGCCAGAGCTGCAAGGAGCCCCCAGAGGTGCAGTCTTTCAGGTAGGCACGTGGGTGCCCGGCCCGCCGCCCGCCCTTCCCTGACCCTGTCCCGCCCACCCGCCCAGCCTCGGTCCCCTGCTCCCTGTCCCACGGACCTTCCTCTCTCGCTGTCACGGATGTGCAGCCCCTGCCTAGGGTCGGCGGTCTGTGTGCCTGCCCCGCTCTCCCTGCTGTCTCTCAGGCCCCATCAGCTCCAGCTAAATTCTTAGTTCCCTTGTTTAAGGAATGAGCCACCTGCTCCGGCCTTTCCTCTCGGCGCTCCCATCGCCGGTCATTGCTTATTGGGAGGATGGGCTGTGGGACAAATAAGCTGGGGGTGCAGGTGCCCAGCAGGCCTCCTGGCTCTGCCTGCCATCTGCCGGGCCCTTGGGGACCAGCTTTCTTGCTCTGGCAGGAGGGCCCCGGTGCCCTCTGTCCTGGCCTCCGTCCATGGAGGGCCTTGCGTTTAGACCTGTGTTGCCCAATCGGATAAAACGAAGGGAACATTTAAAATGTCATCTGTGTGACCGTGCTAGAACATCTCTGTTTTTAACCAGCAGAGAATCTAAAACAAGCACCAGCCGTGGCCCAGAGGGCCTTCAAGCCCAGGCCCCGGATTTTAGCCAAAGGCCTGTGGTCCTGCTAATGTCCCTCAAGCAGGGATGGTTTGGGCCCGCCCTGGAGGCATTTGGCAATTCGGTATACTTTTTTTTTTTAATCCTCACCCTTAGATTTTTCTTTCAGAGAGACAGAGGTGGGGGGGGAAGAGAGAGAGAGAGAGAGAGAGACAGAGACAGAGACAGAGAGACAGAGAGAGAGAGAGAGAGGGAGAGAGAGAGAGAGTGAGAGAGAGAAACATCAGTGTGAGAGAGACACATCAGTTGGTTGCCTCCTGCATGAGCCCTAACCTGCAAGCCAGGTACATGCCCTTGACGAGGAATCAAACCCAAAAACCTTCAGTTTGAGGGCTGGTGCTCTAACGATGGTGCCACCGGCCAGGGCAATTGGGGGGGTGGGGGTGTGTGCATATTTGGTGTCACACTGGAAGGAGGGGTAGGGAGCTGTGACGGGCATCTAGGGGGCGGGGACAGGGATGCTGCCTCACACCCTCCCAGTACAGCATGGCTCCCACTGCCCAGGGTGTCTGTCTGGCGAAGGCTAAGCTCCCGCCCTGACCGCTGGCCTCTGCTGCAGGGAGAAGATGGCCTTTTTCACGCGGCCACGGATCAACATCCCCACCCTCTCCGCCGACGACGTCTGAGCTCCAGCAAAGTATTCCTTCGGCCGGGGACCTGCTGTGAGCAGAGCCTGGGCTGCCGTTATTTATGTGGTGTTATATGAAGGTTCTGCGTCCCGCCTTTTTTTTTTAGTTTGGGTTCTATTATTAAAAAAGAAAAAAAGAAAAGAAAACACACACACACACACAAAAAAAACAACCAGCATTAAAATGACAAGATTGTATAGTTTGTATATTTAGGAATGTATTTTTGAGAAAGAAAATTTAAATGAACTAAAAGCAGTGTCCAGTGGCTGCTCTTCTTAAAATAAAACGGTTTAGATTTTTCTTTTCTTTTTTTTGTACAGCTCTGCCTTCTAGAGGTTTCATGCAATAAGTCGGACACGTTTTGGGGACGGTCACCCTAAAAGGACGCCCTGCAGACACCACAGCACAGCGGACCTCTCCCGCCTAACCTATTTTGTACAATATTTTAAAATGCACAGCCCGCCTTTGGTGGGTCCTGGGGTGTCCGTGACCGTTCACGCGCTGTGACGTGTTTTGACGCGGCCACCTGAGGTGGAGCTGGCTGCAGGCCTGCCCACACCGTCTCAGAGGCCCGGTGAAGCCACTGACGTGAGTGAGGGAGGGCTTTTCATGTGATCTCCATCAATAAAGTGGCCTTTCTGAAACGAATCTCCTCTCTCTCTTCCCCCCCTCCCCACACCACCTCTCCACCTGTGATTCCCTGATTTTTCACTCCCCCCTTCAGAGTCCTTCCCTTCCCACCCATCCCCCGTCCTGTCCAGGTGATAGTCTCTTGGGTTTGGCTGGGTTTGGTCTTTTGCTCACCCCTCCACTCCTTTGCTCATTAAATGAGAATGACTGTCACAGGCGATTGGAAGTCAGCCCTTAACAAGAAAGCAGCAAAACCTCTTCCTCCTTCCATTCTCTGACATAATCCTGGGCAACTTTCCTCCCCACGGGTGGCACTGGCCGCCATGGCACAATCATCGGGCCAGCTTGTTACAAACACACACCCCTGGACCCCCATCCCATCGGGATGGGCCCAGCACTTGCTTTTATCCATGGGTCCTCAAACTTTTTAAAATGGGGGCCAGATCATGGTCCCTCAGAGAGCTGGAGGGCCGGACTATATGAACTACTAATTCCTACTGTAACCTCGGCTGCGCTCACTGCCCAAAAAACCTGGCGGGCCGGATCAGACTCCTCTGCGGGCCGCATGTGGCCTGCGGGCCGTAGTTTGAAGACACCTGCTTATCCATGCTTCACTGTCAGTCCAAAGCACACCTGATGGACCAGCTGGTATAACATGAGAAGCCCAGGCAGAGATGGTGCATCCTCTAAGAATGTCACTCAGGGGACCCTGACATGCATGGCCCTCTGCAGGTCATGGAGAGCCGTCAGGGAGGTGTGATGAGAGAGCAGCCCTTCGCTTGGCTGCAGAGATTTCCCCCCACCTCCCCCTACATTCCTCACCTGCTACTTCTCCTATGGGGAAAGTACCTATAGCAGCATAAAACCCACAGAGGGTCCCAGCTGGGCCCGTCAGAGCCCTTCCCCGCATCAGCCACCTGAAGATGGAAGAGGAGATTTTCTTGCCTGGCAGGCATGGCTCAGCGGTTGAGTGTTGACCCACACACCAAGACGTCACTGGTTCAGTTCCGGGTCAGGGCACTTGCTCAGGTGGTGGGCTCAATCCCCCTTAGGGGGCCTGAAAGAGCCAGCCGGTCCATGTTGATGTTTCTCATTGGCGCTTCTCTGTATCTCGAGTCAAATAAAACTTTTTCTAAAAGAGTAGATTTTTCTCTTCCCAAAGCTACTCGTAGCCATGGTTCAGCTTCTGGGCCCAGCCCTGCAGAGAGAACCAGATGGAACAAGCGGGAAAGTGAAGGGGTCGGGGGGGGGAGTACTCTTGGGGTCTGAATTGATTGACACTAGAAGGTAACTGGATCCTTGTGCATTTGTCTGCCTGGTGGCCCGATTGGAGAGTGTCCAATAGGAACTCAGGGATCCTGCAATGGGATTTGTTCCCTCAGCCACACCTTTATGTGTGTGGCACGCTGAGCCATGGTCAGCACCCACCCTCTGTGAGTGGCAGAGGCTGCGTGGAGCACATCCTCCTGCCTGCGAAGTGTGTGCTGCTGTTTCAAAAGGTACCAGGCGCCCGGAGAGTACACAGTGAAACCTGGGAGATTCCGGGGAAACTCTTCATTGAAAGCAGCGCTGCTGGCTCAGGGCATCCCACGATCCCAAGCCTGAAGCCCTTACACAACGAGATTGCTCCTTACTTATATTCCCAAGTTTCTTTGTTTCCTAGCTACCCAGCTTTTGTGGTGGCTGTTGCAGCCCCTCCTGAGTCAGAATGGGGAAGTTAGAACGTATCTACTAGGAGATGCCTGGCCTGGGTGGTGCCAGCCACCCCTCCACTTTGGCCAAGCTGCCAAATTCCCGGCCTGTTGCTCCTGCAAACTGGGAGCAGCCAGGAAAAGACATGCCTGAGGAAGGGGCAGTGACTTCATTATAGGCTAACAATGTGCGCTAGGACACCGGTCACTGGCACAGATTTGGGTTGTTATGCTCCCCCCCACCCCACCCCACCCCACCCCCCACAACCAAGGTGGCCCCTACATTCCTCCTCACCAGGGTTGTTTCGGCTGATGGAGCATCTGTGGGGAGAGCCAGACCCCCTCTTCCGAAGGCAGAAGGCCCTGTGTCTGCCCTGGCATTGAAGTCTCTATGAACAGTAGCTGGCCAAACACCAATCATGCATTCTGTTGTTGTATGCGGAATAAATAAAGTCGCTCTGTGCAATTGTGCACATCTATTCTCCAGAATCTTTTATTTTTTAAATATATTTTTATTGATTTTTACAGAGAGGAAGGGAGAGAGATAGAGAGCTAGAAACATCGATGAGAGAGTCATCAATCAGCTGCCTCTTGCACACCCCCCACTGGGGATATGCCCGCAACCAAGGTACATGTCCTGACCGGAATCGAACCTGGGACCTTTCAGTCCCCAAGCCAACACTCTATCCATTGAGCCAAACTGGTTTCGGCTGTTCTCCAGAATCTTTAGGAAACAAGAGCTTAAAAACGTGAATTGCCCTGCTCAGGGTCACTCGGATCATAAATGGCAGAGCTAGGGCACACCTGCTCTTTGGACTCCCCAAGTCCCTGTGTCTACGTTCTGGTTTCTGTTTCACTGTGTTGTGGTTACGTGAGGCCCCGAATCGAAGGGACTTTGAACATTGGGTTTGTAGGAATGAAACCATGAAATCCCGTGGTTTCTCTGCATGGGGGTACGGAGAAAGGGGGTGACTAGTATGCTAGCCTGAGAAGACCTCACTGGATCTGATTGTCTCATTCATAAAACCAAGTGAGGCCTTTTGGCTACAAATGTTTATAAAATACATGAGTGACGTTGATCATGATACATGAACATACAGGTTTCAGGTGAGGGTTTCTATGTTACACAATCTGTTTATTGCACCGTGTGCCCACCACCCAAAGTAAAACCTGTCACCTTTTTCTTTTCTTTTTAAAAAAATATATTTTATTGATTTTTTTTTATAGAGAGGGATAGAGAACTAGAAACATCGATGAGAGAGAAACATCAAGCAGCTGCCTTCTGCACACCCCTCACTAAGTACTTGCCCCCAACCAAAGGTACCTGCCCCTGACCAGAATAGAACCTGGGACCCTTGAGTCCATAGGCCGACACTCTATGCACTAAGCCAAACCGGTTAGGGCTCTTTTTTAAAAGACAAAAATTTAATTCAACTCAAATCTTTTGCAATTGTCATTGGCCCCAGAGGTCAGCTGCATCCTGGCTCTATTTGTAGTGTGCCTGGTGAACCGAGTCAAGAGTGCCCACAGGCAATCCTTGTGCTTCCTGCCTCTAAGAAAGCAACCTCCATGAGAATGGGGAGCTGTCTGACTTATTTCCAGCTTGAGTTCCGGCGCCTGGAATAGTGCAGGGCATTTTGAATGCACAATAAATGCTTGGTGAGTACATAAACAGATCGCTGAGTCCTGTGCCCATTTCACAGACGGGTAAACTGAAGCCTTTGAGAGACAGAAGCTGTAGGTAAGCGCCGCCTCTGACCACCGTTAAGTCCGTCCCAGCACACAGAGCAGCTCCGGCCCCAATCTCAGGACCGCAGCCCCACTTCCCACGGCTTCTCCCCGCAGTGCGTCCTGGATCCCGCCAGGGGGCAGCAGAGGCCGCGGCGCCCGGTCAGCCTCGAGCCCGCGGGGCGGGGCGCACTTCCGCTTCCGGGAAGTGCCGGCTGTTTCCGCTTCCGGCTACTTGTGGCGTGAACCGCCGGCGGGAGGATGGACGGGCTGGTGGCTCAGTGCTCCGCGCGGCTGCAGCAGCAGGTCGGGCGGCTGGGCCCCGGGGGAAGGCGGGGAGGGGAGGGGAGGGGCCGGGCCCGGCTCCCGCCCTGGCGTCCCGGAGGCGGTGGCCGAGAGGCAGGGCCTGTCCGGGGCCCCTCAGCCGCGCGCCGGGGGTCCCAGGACCCGGGCGGGTGTTGGCGGACCCCCTCTCCCGGGGGTGGAGAGAAAGAACCCATCGTCCCAGGGCCCGGAGACTGGGGTGCAGCGGAGCCGAGGGTCCCGGCCTCCCGTGCACCCTCCATCCCCAGACCAGCACCTCCCGCTGGGCTGGAGCCCGGCGAGTTCATGCCACGCACACGCGCGCGGTTTTAGGGGCTGCGGGGCGCGGGCGCGGAGGGAAGGGGGTGAGCGTGGAGCCATGGGCCCGGGGTTGCAGCTCAACCTCCGTCCGCTCCGTGATGCTGAGCAAGGGGAATTCTGAAAAGCCCAGGGACTTGGCTCGCCGCCTGCACAGCCACAAGCGAATAGCAAAAGCGAAAGTTGTGCAGTTGCATGAACTTTGGTGCCCGGGGAGGGCGGTGGGGTGGGAGGAAAGCAGTTTAAGTTAAATACTCACCGCGTCCAGGGGATTGGTTTATAAGCCCTCGCTCTGCAGTTCCCAGAGCTCACGCTGGTCAAGGAAACGGGCAGGTCGGCTGCTCCGGGTCAGCGTGGCGGTGTGAGCGCTGCTTCGCTGGCGGTGGTAAGGATCTTAGATGTAATTTCGGAAGTGTTTAGCTCAGCGCCTGGGAGGTAATGTGTGCTTATTTATGGTGGGGGAGAGTTAGTTGTAGTTATGTCCTGGTAAACATTCTTACATTTCAAGGACGTCTCTCCCCCTCCGTAACAGCAGTTAGGTTGGAAGCTTTACTTCCTTGTGAATTGGCATGTCTTTGATTTTAGATTTTAGCGTAAAAAGCCTGGTCTGGGATCTAAGACACTGGAAAGAAAAGGGGGCGTGGGGGGGGGGGAGAGGGAGATGGGAAGATCATTTTGTCCCAGAAAGGGTCAAAGGCAAACACTTGGGCCAAAGAAAGAAACCTGGGATATGAGGCTTATCCCATTGTGTGCTTAACACTCGTATTTTCCTTTCACAACACAATTTTCCCGTATTGTCAAGGATCACAGTGTCATCGAAGAGCTTGAGGAAGGGCAGTCCGAACTTATCAAAGGGAAAGTCCTTCGTCCCTATCATCTCTGCCCTGCCCTGTGGACAGGGGGACGGAGGAAGAAAGTTTATGATCCGGTTTACTACATCACGGAGGCCATCCGTCATAGAACAAAGTGCCTT